AAGCCTAAATGCGGTTATACATTTTCTAAGGAAAATTTGATAGCTATGGTCTGACTAGCTGCTACATGTTTCGTTTGAATGAATTTCGTTCCCTTCATTTTAGCACTTCTGTTCCTTTGTACCGATATACCTGTTTGAGTTTTCTTTGCCTTGCATTTCCGTTCGACTTCCTCTCACCTGGTTGGTTAACCGGACCTCTTCAATTGTTAGCGGCCTCCCTTGAATGAGGTCTATTCGTAATTTTTTCGTGCTATGCGTTGCTTTCTTAATGCTTATAGGCTCATAGGAACGGTTCTGTCCTGCTCAAACTTCTGTATTGCTGTGTTGCTTGGTTGTACGATCTAGAGGCCTTGATTTTGCCCCTTCCGTTTCCCCTCGGTTTCTCCGCTGATCTCTTGTATGATTTCGAATCCATATCTCTTCGGAGGCTGAGGTATTGGGTTGATACACTTCTTCGGGCTGCACAAAGCGAGAAGAAACTTATGCTTTTTCAGTAGAGTAAGCTGACGGTCGCAGGATTCTCTGGAACGTTCTGACGACAAGCAAGTCTGTTGTGGATTCCTTCTTGCTATCAGGAATCCGGCAGAATAGAGGAACCACGTCCGCGAACGTTATTCATCCTTCATCATCCAATGTGCAGAATAGAGGAAACACGTCCGGGAACGTTATTCATCCTTCATCATCCAATGTGCTGGCTTTTACATACGATACTAGCAGCCTGTGCCATGACAGCATCTTAAAAGTTGATGCCGTTGACCTAGTGGCCTTTTACTAACCTACTAATTTCAGCAAAACCTATTACGTTTTCTCGTCCTTCACAAGACGACATGAGACAACACGGGGCACACGAAAGAAACCTGTTTAACAAAAGGTCGTGCATCTTCGTTAGACATTTTTGTTCGAAATCCAAAGCTCTGGTAGATGTTCAATTCCTTGGCATTTCTTTTAGCTAGAAAACGGTTTGTTAACCGCCACAACTCTAAGAGACAGCTCTTGCAAACTATGCTGTGCGCTGAAGACTCACACGTGTAGTGGTGTGAAAACGTAAAAGAGATGGAGTCCTACACAAGAGAAATTCCTCTAGTGAGTGCGGTACTACTGATGTAATCGTTTAACTAAGGTCTACTAAAATATGCATAACTAAGTCTAGAAGAGAAACCACGATCAACAGTAATGTATGAACTAATTTTCAAGGGGTGTCTTTGGTTCGAATCGCCCGTAATAATACAGATGAGATACGTCAGACCATATACAATGGAGAACAGATTTCTTGCGAACAAAGTTTATATTCGGTGGACGATGGACAACAACCTCAAGGAAGTAAACTTATGAGCTATCATTGTAGATTTGGAAAATGGACCATATTTCCGATTGCCGGTTTTACCTGTCAGTTGAGCCATGTCTGGAGACTGACTCTCAGTTTACTCTGGTCCGGGAAGCTTGGAAAGTAGCACATCCTCAGGAGTTTCTACCATTCTTTTGAAAGCAGAGACCTTGATAGCAGATTGTAAAATTGCTTGGCACCTACCTGAATGCTCCGAAAACTGTGGATATTTCTATATCGCTCATTTTACTTGCTGTACATTCCTATTTTAAACTTGACGTTTTGATTCTATGACTAAGCTGTTTTTTGGCTTCATCAGTAATGTGTAACTGCATAACTTTATGTTGAGTGCAGCGGTGTGACCCGATTTCCCGGTGGAAACTCAAATTCGAATTCGCATCTCAAAATTCTATTTATTTATTTTTCCGTAAATTTGTGCAAATCCATGGAAGATTTTCAAGTGTTTGTACCAGCAATTTTAGTGCCAGGAGCCACAAGCGAAGTACTTTTAGGTGTCGCCAGTGGAACATTGTGCAGTTTGCGACGAAGTACGCGCCATTTGCAATAAAAGGTTTTTAAGTCTTTTACTGTACCGGACAAAACGGTTTGCTAGCTATTTCTACGTTTTTATGTAATTTAGTCAGTGTCACTTAATATATACTGAATTTGGAAATCTGCCCATTTCGAAAAATTCATTCCATTACTTTCATTTGAAAAGTCATTCTCATGTTCTGGATCAACCATTCTGTTGAGTCCACGCTGGACTCGAGTGTCGCTTTTATTAGATTTCATATCCTTGGCCCTGCTGGAGTATGATCTCCGTCAGGGCCCACCGGGCACATCTGAATTCTCAGTTTTGAACAGGCGACATAGTGACGCTTTGCCCGACTCCTCAAATGGCAACCCAGTCAGTGTCCTGGCTGCGACGGCCGAGAGACCCACCAGTCAGGAGTTCACAGTCAGGTAGCGCCATGGACGGTTGAAATCTGCTGGACATGTTTTGATTTTTGTGGGCATTTGTGGGATTTTTAGTGTTCACGGTCACATCACTCTCGTATGAACAGGTGCAGTCAGTCTAAACGTGTCGTCTGTGGAAGCATCAGTATAAAAGAATTGTATTTACGGTAAATTAGTTTTAATACTAGCCGGTTGACCGGAATGTCTACCGTTCACTCGCCCATTTCTTGAGGCGATATCGGTACCTGGTGGGCACAGAAATAATATTTGCTATTTCACACAATCACGATGAACAGATTACCCCACCCTGTGATGAATTCAAACCTTTGTAAGTCATAAAATTTAATTATGGTGACGCTCAAAAATAGACCCTTCCAAAGGCTCATATTTCCATTTCTAGTCTAGTAGTTTTACCACTCGACATATTACTGATTCGGACATTCCAATAAGAATAGAATAAACGAGAGATTCAGCTGAGATTAAGTTAAGTCTTCCGTCATAACCACATTAGTTTTGCAACTAACTGTAATTTACGAGTATCGGTCAAGTAGTTTCGTGAGTTTGACCATGACGGCGTTAGCTGGGAGTGCATTTAGGTTACGTGATTGGAGGATAATTTCCGCTGCCTGCCAGTCGACTAAATTTATGCTCTATATTTGATGTGTGACCCATTAACTGCATGCTCTAAACAGAGTCTGAGAAGCGCATGTAAGCGTAAGTAGCCTTGTTCGGGTTTCTTGGGTTAAGGTTAACCACCTTTCAGACCTTAATTATGTAGACGATGCAGGTTGGAGATTTTTATGCCTACACCGCACGGTTTTGATAACTTTATGTTTAATGGATTAGAAGGCACAGATGTTCTATCGAACAGGTATTACACGTCAGTATAACCCGTCAGTAAACTTGGCCACTATGCCCATACCAGAAGAAAAACCGTGCTTATTTAAATGAGGATTAATTTGGCAGAGATAGTATGTTATAACTCTTTTCTTTACTTGATTAGCAAGCATCTAACATGAAGGTGCATGGCTATATGCCCTGTGATCATGATTTGGATTTGTGGGCAATAAACTGTAGTTTGTTCATTTCTGAATGGCAGTATTGCACGCCGAAATGGTTTTTACAGCGACACTGCTAGGATATCGTGCATTCACATCGCCAGTGTACGCCCTAATGAGTGATGAGTGTTGAAGGGCAGTGCTACTGTGTGTTTTATGCGGATCCAGCTGCACTTCGCCTACTCGTCAAATGACGATTCTGTTGATGTTTTAATCAAGGGGCCATTTTGATTATAGGCTGAACACGCTGAATGATGCTAGTTTGGATAGCCGCGCGTGATGGTTGACCCCACCAAATGTTTACTCAAATTTGAGGTGTGTGACAACAACATCCGGGACTTGTTTTCCAGTGGCTTCCGGCTTTCAGCTAACTAGCGTTGTATGAATGACCCTTTTCAAATTGGCACAGTGAATGTCTTGCGCGGTCACTATCAATAGTTTAGCTATTTGGATGGAAGTTGGAGCATTGTGATGCGTATGTGATCGGTCGACAGTGATTTGTTGCCATGAGGCTACAGTTTCAGGCGTTCGGGATATAGCTCGTGATTAAGCTTGGTCGAAGAGTTTTGACATTGGGAAGTTCAGATGTTAGTGACAATAGCTAGGATAACCACTTGTATTATGCCAGACTCCGTCTCGTTTATCTTATTGCGGCTAAGGAGTTCGTTTTTCGTTGTACTGATGAAGAAATTCGGTTCAGGACATGAATCGGACGAACAGACATCTAGGTGGTTGTCACACATGCAGTTGATGCTATTCAGCAAGCTTGTGCTCCGCTAGCAGAGTGAATTTCTTCTCTTTTTTTGTTCTCAGAAAACAGCCAGAAGATCTACCACCAGCTTCGGGGCACTTCGTATACACTCCTCACATTCCTAGCGATTTTTCAAGCCAGATTGCTTTTACTTCGGACGTGAAATATTTTAGAGTGGCCACATTGTTTTGTATAATTTAATGCTTTGGATGCTAGGGCAGAGCGTCGGCGTCCCGTCGATTCCTAAAAATCTATTTTGGATTATTCAGATGAGGTTGCGCTTACGTAAATACTCTTACAGATTTGATTTTTGAAAAGAGATTCACCTGAAACCAGCTGAATATACTCATTGGCTTGTAAGCTGAGCTGGGCAATTTGATTGCAAACGTTTCATCAATCGAGATGACATCATTGATAGCTAGTAACAAACCAGCAATATAGCCGTGTGCGGAAGACAGGAATCATGAATGCGGTTGTTTTATGGGAGCAGACGGCTCTCCTCAGCCTTGATGTGGTTTGTTTTATGGATAAAAATTACTAGCTTAAGCTCTTATATTTCCTAGGTCCAAGGCACCACAGATAACTTTTATCAACAGTATGCAAATCATTGGGTTACTTCAAAAGTTGAGGAAATTTCAACCAACTGACAAACAAAAATGGTACAAAAGCGGCGGAGTCGAATTTACTTTGCTGGACAATTGTTTGAGAGGATCACACTGTTTGATAAGGAAAGTGATGCGCTAGACCGCTGGATCGAAATTAAAAAGCACTTCAGGTGTTTTTACCACAAAGGCAGGGACACTATTGTTTTTTTGTTGAGACGACTTATTGAGCTCTATTCTCACAAACTTTAGGGGAGAAAACAATTTTCCGCTTGACATAGCTGCCCAATTTTTCACTGTAAAACACATTCTGCCTTATAACTTTTATGGGACATGTGTGATTTACAAGCCATCAGAGGATAGGACTGACAAACCCCTTGATGAAATCACCTGATTTGAAAAGTTCTTTCGATATGATGTGATAGAGTTGACGTAACTCAGTATAAAAATTCCGTCAAGAACGTGGCACAATTAGGTGGCGCTGATGGTCCACGAGAAACAGAGACATAGGTGCCATTGGGAAGCAGACATAGTGATCCGTACGATTTGGACCACGGTGGGAACGCTCGAAGACAGGCAGCAACAATGAAGATAGCAACCACTGATACGATTAGACCAACTCTCGAGGCCATAACCTTTCGAAATTTTGTGGGACGATCAACGAATATCGGTGCAGGAATCGTCGCAGGGCGATGGTAAATCTGGGGACTTGAAATTGATTCATCGTCATCTAGAAAGCAAAAGAATGGTATCGCAGTGGTGACACAAAAGCATACACTCGTGTTATTTGCTGATATATATCGGGCTTGAAGTGAAACGTTTACGTTCCTTGAATCAGTGAGTTTTCGAACAAAATGTCGTAAACTTTGACGGAACTATGTTGCGCTAGACCAACAGTGTATGGTATACGGTAATAAGTAGCTCTGAGCTGTAGACAGTTTAGAGGTTAAGGCGCGAGCTCACTGACCGTGAGGGGTCCGTAGTTTGAACCCAACACATCAGCTGTTCCTGTTTAGGTTCAAGCAACCTACAGGTACCTCGCCCTTTCGAGTAGCGCGACAGGTCGGTACTGAAATGGTACTACAGCAGACTGATTATTCATCATTACTTGGCAAACGATCTTGAAATAAAGATGAAGTAATTGCATGGATTTCCAAAATATTGTCTTCATCGCAACATTGCCGTTCAAACTTCCATGATAGTATTACCTTCACGCCTAATTTACTTAGTTACTGCAATTTATACACAGCTCTTGTTGTACCGTTCACAAGAACGCAAACCAATTTCTCACTTTTATGATTGCCACAAACTGGGATTGCTGACCCAAATGCGTGTTATCAGCTGAATATGAAACAGGCCTGCTTACATGGACATACCGAAGTGGTTTATAGCAACAAATAACGTTAATTGTGATGCTATCAACACTCTCAACTTATGTACCATATTGCTTCCGACCAAAGACCAGCCAGGTCACTATAACGACTGGCGCGCAGATCTGATAACGTATCGTCAAACCTTTTACTATCAGCTCCATCAGTGTCATGTAGGTAAAGCAGTCACAAATTTGTGTTAACTTGCTCGAGTATAGTGCGTCTATCATGAAAAGCGGTAAACCTTGTCAGCTCATTGTAAGGTGAAAATCCCCCGTCTGGGACGTCTCGCCGCCTATCTTTATCATAAATGGGGGTGATCAAACAGAAAGCATACCAAATAACAAATATATCGTACACGTTTTTTGTCGAAACCTTGAATCTATAAGCTAGCTAATGTTACGGGCACTTGGTGGAATACTGCAAGCAATTTCATTCAAAATGTCTAGTATCACAGCTTAAAATTAGCGTGAGAAATTTAGAGCTATCTGCAACCAGAAACATCAGCTGTCATATCCCAGGGAGGTTCAAGAAATTAGTGTCTTGAAGACCATCAATGAAAGGCCTTCGGATGAGACATTTTCCTCTTTTTGAATGCATTCCTGCACACCTGTTTGCATTTTCCATGTTTGTAACAACGCTCGTCAAAAGTAGTATTAGTGATAGTAGACGTAAGTGTGACAGAATCGGGTCAACACTCACCGACCACATCTCCAATCACACATTAGTGTCAAGCACGTTTGGCCAGTGTCTGTATGCCTCGAATTTTTACTACTCCAAACATTTTATAACTTCACACTAGCCACACACTCAGTATACTACTAGAATTTCATCAGCGTAACTGAGGTCGTTCTTGGCAAAAAAATAGTCGTGTACAGGGTTTCAGGGTTTTTATTTTTTTTGTGGAGGGAATACGCTCAACTATTTCATTGGGGAACATTTTTCAAAGAACCCAAAATACATACAGCCATAAAACGACTGTAAAGTTGAAATAATTTTACAAACACCGAGGATATCATACTTTAGTGCAAAACTAAAAAATAAATAAATTCAGAAAGCAACTGAAAATTCAAACTGGGGTTGGAATAGTGGTTAATTGGAGTGATGGTTAAAACCACTTTTCCGTCACATCAGTCTTCTTTAACAGTCCTATCAATACGCCACGATCAGCGTCATTAGTCAAAACCAAAGTAGGAAAGCTCGTCAGATCTGTGTAAATTCACCGGGGGCACGATCACTTGATGGGCTGGGCAAGCATTGGATACATCCGATTTACCAGGTATGATTAGGTAGACAAGTTGATAATTCAGGGGTTTGTGTGGCGTTGTCAAATACTCTTGCTTCTAAAATGAATTAACTAGCTCCAATGGGGGAAAACCTCAAAAAACCATTCGTGTGGATAAAAATAAAGAAGCTCTATGAATGACCATGATTAACGTTCTTTTCATCAGGTATTTAGGGTGAGATGGCCCAAGTGATTAGAGCGCGAATTCACTGACCGGAAGGTCCGTGATTTGAACTCGACCTCCACCACTTGACTTCTAGGCTTGGGCAACCTGGCAGTGTCCCAGCCCTCGTCCTTCCTTCGGATGGCATGGCATTTAGGCACCGAAAGGGTGCTACAGCTGAACGCCTTTTTTCATCAAGTATTCTGGACTAACACCGGTAACTAATATACGATGCCCAAATCCGCTAGAGAAATGATAGCTTAGATTTTGTAAATTTCTGTGCAAATGGGTCAGCTTCCATTCTTCACGAGTAGGAAAACACCACATATGTAGCAACTTCATCCATAGTCCAGTTTAAAAAAAGTCGCTGACGGGACTACACGAAAATTCCAGATTGATCGGCTGACCTGGAAATTGGACATTCAGATGAGTTGTCCTTGAAAGCGATGGCTACCTGCTTGTCTTCAGAAAAACTAGATATGCTCCACGGTTCTTCCTGATTCATTGGGATGTTATTATTCGTAGACGAGAGTTTACTTGCCTCTACTACTTATATGTCTATTCCAGTTGAACGACGTCGTTAGCTGAGTCTAGGTATTCATATCAGTTCCTTTCCAAGGGGATTGTGCGGACCACATATTGTTACACTTGTTGACACGCCCGATTTTTCACTCCGGGATTCCGTCTATCTGAGGTGCAAATATCTGTTCGAATCAACCAATCCCTTCAGTAACTTTACGAGCTTTCTCTACGGGAGGACTACTAAACCTCAGAAACTAAAATGAAAACTGGGAAGCACACCTACCTGCAGTACTGAGGAAGTGTGAGGAAGTTTGGTCGGAGATGTATCCCGCATTTTGACATCCCACTTCTGCTTCATTTTCCGCATCCACTGCAACTGAATCAACAACTTTGGTTCTCTCCCTCGCCTGGAATAGAGAAAAAAATACCAGGAATATTATCAACTATGCGTCTTTTCCGAGACGACAGCGCAAGACTGATACCTCAAGCAATGGTAATCGTTATTCTAATTTCGTTTATTCCACTCCTCAACAGTGGAAGAACTCTCTGAATTTTGTTTGTTTGGATTGAGAAAAATAACACAAATCTACTTTTCTTACAAACGTCGAAGTAAGTCCGTTTACACAGATTAACACGAAAAATCTTAACCGCAACCGATTTGTGTAAAAAAGAACTATCTCATAGGAACAGGGAGGTGTATTCTAACAGAGATCAGACACTTTGGATGCGCGCATGTAATCAATAGCTAGGGTGTAGACAACCTAAACATACAGATAAAATTCACCCGTAGATCAAAGCTTGCCCCATACACAGTCGCTGCATGCAGGCACGCTTCATGACACAGTCGTTAGTCTAGCTAAAAGATGCAGTAGGTGCCAAGGAATTTAGTTGGCTTGCGAAATTTTGGCATGGTGTCAATTCTTTTCCTCATAAGACAGCAAATCCCTCGTGGTTTAGTTTGTCGGCTTTTGAATGAGGGATTGGATACTTCGTTTTCATACGTTGGACGATTCTTAGTAATCAGTACGTTTGGCACCGTACCTAGGTCTTCACTCGTGCGGTTGGCTTCGATGGAATGATGGAATGTCAGGCAGAATAAACTGAATAGCCAAATTAGCTGTCTGTGTGAGGCTATTCGCGACGCCGACTGTAAACGATTGGCTATTCGCAGCTCATCATTGTGCAATGAGTGGGCGAAGAAATCAGTTTTCGTTTTGTCTGCTTACTAGACGTTTCACAATCGATGGATTATGAAGCGTTTAAACTATTTCCAACATATACGCGTCTTTTTATGTGGTGAGTACTGCCACGTAATGCGCTCATGTTCAAATTGAAGACTGCGACCACGCCAGACAGCAAGAGTAATTTTCACTGCACTTGTCGTTTCCGAGGATACGCTGTACTAGTAGCCTTTGGTAGTTTACAGTTCTTTCTTGTACTCACACATGCGCACGATCGGTTGTTTCAGGTGCGCTGCTAAGAAATGCGAAGCAATGCTTTGATATACAGACTCATTTCCATGTCGATAGGGTTTTCACCAGAGACTTGACTGAATTACTTGTTGATGATAATCGTCAGTTCTACTTGCTTCACAAGGGCCGCCTCGTTGCTCAGTTGGCAAGATTTTCGAGATATCGAAACATATTCCCATAAGGGAAACTACTCACAACGTTGCTGAAAATTCTTCGACACCCACGGTCGGTTTCGCCCTTCTTGAGGCACCGCCATTGGCTGTCCAGAAGTTCTCAGTGGACCACAATTACACATAATTCTTTTGCATGCTGTAGTCTCAGGATGAGGAGTGTTAGGGTACAGTGCTCCACTACACTTTACTGTGAAGGTGACATATCTGGGAAAAAAGCTTGTCAGAAACGTAGCGTTCCGAGATATCTTGCTTCGGGGATTTTGTGGAGCTTGCTGTCACCCACATAGCGTCCTTAAGTAAACTGAGTGATCACTAGAAACCAGTACAGCCGGATAAAACTTTCATAACCGTTCTTTGACAAATGCTCAGCAACCTTGGGTGTAGGTGCACTATGGACGTACAAACAACTGTCAGATTTTGAAAACTATTAAAGCGCAAGAGAGCACTTGTATGGTTTCATCTGATGAGCTTTGTTTCTTCCAGTCTTCACTACATTCGGATACCGTAGCCCTGCATTTCCCAGTGAACGGTCATCCTAAAGCGATGAAATAATGAAACATTTTAATAAAAAATGCTGCCGCTTCTGTGATTATTATTCATTTTTATCAAAGTAGCCTAAAATGATTCTCGCATTTAGCTTAGTCCCACAATTAGGTGTTTACTACCTACTAGTCTTCCTCTGCGGTTTCTATCGTACAAATACTTCCGACGATTGTTAACAAACCTCCTGACCCTAAATGACTGTCGCGACCGCAAATAAGATCACCATACACAAATAACACAGGGTACAATATGAACCAAAGATGTGATGGCTAATCTGTTGCCGCACGTGCTAAAACACAAATCAAAGAAACAGAAAATCCCCCTCCGTGCTCAGAGTTGTGTTTGTTGGAATTTCCAGTACTATGTTTGCATTTTGGTCGACTTCACGTTGGAGAATCGGACCGGGCTGCCTAGCGAACACGTGGACGGAGGACCAGTGCAATTCACAGGTGTTTTCAACAGACAGCCCACTAGACATCATTCCCTGTCAGCAACGTGTATTCGGAAAATGTGCGAAAAAAGCATGTCGCGTGTCTAAAAGGACCGGATTCTTGACCAACATTCTGGATAAGAAACACTTTGCCAATCCTAGTTTATCATGCTTATTAGCGAATACAAAATGTGGTGCCTTTTCATTTTCAGTCGACCTTTAGAGAAGCGAGAAAAATCCGCATAAAGGTCAATTCGTTGTTTGCACAAGTTCAGCTTTCGAGGACTTTCTGAGGAGAAATAGAATTTGCTTTTGATGAGTTAGCCTACAAGCGAAGAGATGTGCGAACTTAAGGACCATCCCGTCTTAAAAATGTAGCATATATTCTAGGATGAACAGGGTACATTTGCTCATGACCTCATCTGTGTTTTGAACGACTCTAGTCTAGGCAAATGCTTTAACTGACTGTCTACTGATAGCCGATAATTGGTGTTGAGTTCAACCGTTGACTCTTATCGATGTCCTGTTTTAGAAAACTTCCACTCGGGCAGGCTAATTTTGCTCCAACATTTACTACTACCATCTACCTTAGAATACCCATTAAATTCACATCTAAGTAGGACGGCTTAGGGGATACAATGAGCCTAAATGTCGTTAGGACGACTCCGGACTTGGGATGAAGGAAAGGGCTCAAAAAATTACGTGTCAAATTTAAGGAAAAAGCCGGTTAAATAAGTTTTATTTTGGCGAATTTTGGATGTGCTCTATTTCGAAACTACTCGGGCTTCTAAACTTCAATGTACTAACTCGTAACATTTAGGCCTGCTTAGAGAATTTCGTATTGTATGCAGCTACTCAGTGTATCAATGTGTGTATAAGTAGCGGATAAAATAGTAGCAGTAGACAGTTTGAAGTTTGCAGAACTTTTATGCAGGTTACTCTTTGTGCAGTCGAGTAAATCTCAACTTGAATGTTATGTTCAAAATTCCTACCGGATAACGTCGAAATATTGTGTTGTCTGGACGTACGTTGCTCTCCTAACAACCAGTACCTTATGGACCCCACTCATAAGGGAATTTTTTGTGACTATAATCAAGGAAAAACGAATTAACGGTCTGAAAATGAGTAGACTCACCAAGATAACTTGGGTGTCCCAGTTAATACATTGGCATATGGTGAAATAAACCAAACCTTCCAATATTGTTCCCACAGTCAGACCAGCCCAGAGGCCTGAAAATTTAAAAATGGATTCAAAGATTTCGTTGCAATAAATTCATAAAAACAAACAAAAGATATGATTGTCCTCTAGTTTGGTGCTCGAGCTACAGTCTAGCGCAATATACTTCGAAAACAACATTGAAAAAGTTAAAAGGTTTCAAGGTTTTGAGTGCATTGGAGGTTTGAAAATTTCAGAGACGCATTCGCCTGATGAAAGGCATTTGTTCATGAGGCAACAACTTGAATCGCCTATAATCAGTATCAACCTATAGCAGTAGCCTTAGTCAAAGAGTGAGAACGTGGCTAAATCTGGATGTTTGATCCATATCTTCGATCAACGAAAGAACTCTCATTATCAGTAGGAAAAAGTGAGAATCACGGAACCCTCGTCAACTGGTGGCGCCATCTTATGTGATGAAACTGTTTAGGATTGTGTTGTTGTCAGTTTCGATATTTTCTATCCAGTTCATCCGCAAAATCATCAGCGTTGTTGATTCTCTAACCACAAGGTTTTTGATGGATGATTTTGCAACACACTAGTTTCCAGGAAGTAAAGACATTGAGGGGAAATGTTCCTCTTGTGAAATGAAAATGAAAATGATCCCGTTTCACGGTACACAGAAACGCCATTTCCTGTCATCGGAAGATTCAGTTGAATTACCCGTGGAAACCAAACTGATCGTCGAAATCAGTCCGATATCGGTTCAAGTAGAACATAAAGTTTACGGAAACCCTGGGACTGCGCCTGTCTTATGAGCCCCAAGAAGGGCGGAACCGGTTGTTGACCTCCGAGGAGTTTTCAGCAAACATGTGAGTAGTGTCCTGCATACAAATGTGACGTGTACTTCACGCAGTCTGGCTTATTTTAGAATCTAGCTAGCACGTTTCAATTTTGTCCACTCATTGTACGGCGGAAATGGATTTCGAAAGATTTGCACGGACAAATTTAGCGTATGTTAAGCTTCTTCGATGACCCACTGGTACGGACCCAGCTGGGAATCACACATTCGGGAGTCGGAGTTTAGACATCCGACGGGTGTGTTACCAGTAGTCTGTCAACACATGCTGGGCTCACCCAGTTTATAACAGGCGGACGTATTCTGCATTTTGTGACTGGTTCCGCAGCGAACCAGCAAACTCAGTGATTACGTCGATCGACTGACACACCCGTCATTACTTCGCAGTCACGGTGTTGGAAACATACTGGACATTTTTATTCTAGCTGTCGTTTGGTTCCAGTGTCCATTGGTGAACCCCCACCACTTAACTAATGGTTTATTGGAGTTAAGAAAATGACACTGCCACTTCGAAGATGCCATCACTTACAGTGTCAGAAATAAAATAACAAACCCATGAATGGTAAAACTGCTTACGTTGATAGAACTTTTACCTACCATTTAATTTCATCCCAGCCAAAAATACGAGACAAAGTCCAATAGGTCCCCCGATGACATAAAGAGTGACAAAGCATACTGCTGCACCAATAAACTGTAGACCGGCACCGCGTATCGCACCGCTGCACACTCCCTAGATAACAAAGCAGAGATAATAAAATTTCTGAAAATGGATACGGACGGATATTCATTGCATTGAACAAATATTTTCATGCGTTGCGCCCTTTTGTCATGACCACGGTGCTTATGCCGCCTTTTAATTCAAGTCAAGTGAAACTGGGGGAATATTGATCCCGTGAATCCCGAGTAGTGAGTGTTCAGCAAGACAGATAATAGCACACACAGACAAGAAAGAGTAAAATCTTCTGAGTATGAGATAAACAGTTTCAGGGAAGGAATTCAAACAGCAAGTCCTAGTGACTGATTGGATAGTTCACTCGAAACACTCCAGCACGTACAGCGTTTCCTCTGTCTCGTCAATCAACAAACAGGTGGTGCGTTTAAATACCAAACGTAATTAAATTGTGTGCATGACAAACAGAAAAAGGAAGTGCAAGTGAAATCTAGGTGCTGCTAAACTGCACCTCACAGTCTGCACACGACATGCTACAAAAAGATAAGGTGCTAGTGAAGACTTCGTTCATTGAACCGATAGGCGTATTGTTTTACGATCAACCAATACGAAAGGGCAGAAATTTTGACCAGCATTTTGCTCTTCACACATCGGAATGCTATGCCAATTGATAAACGCCACCTAATCGCAACCGTGTGCCAAAGGAAATGGAGCACTATTTCAATTGTGGCTGCCAAACCGTGTTCCAGTGAATCTGTAGCTAAAAACGTATCGAATGTGGAGAGTGAACTTCACCTACATAGGAGCCACTGAACAGAAATTTGCCGGACAGTCGATCGCTCACCACTGGACAAGGATTTATACGAGAAGAAATCCTCAAAATACGGCCGGAACAAAATCAAATAACGATTGTTTACAAGAAACAGAATAGTATTTACACAAACTATTGATAGGAACTGGTTATCCAGAGCGGCCCATAAATAACTTTAAAAAATGACTGTATCCACTACTGGAAGCTTCCGATATTGTTTCACTTGACAGTAAAATATGAAATTAATATTCCTCAGGCATCTGATTCACCTTGTTAACCCACCGAAGATGAGTAAAAGTTCGTACCTGTCCCTCCACTCTGTTCCGAAATGAACCGTGAATGTAGAAGCATCTTCACCGTATTCACTGAGGCTGTTAAAAGTGTCCGGTTGATCTTGTCGACTTTAGCGTTTTCTGCTTTACCATTTCGTATGGTACGAAAATTTTACTGATATTTTAACAGTGTGTTGAAAAGCAACCTAATAATCAACTCCACTAGTATAAGGGAAAATTACGAGAGAGTTATTCCGAAAACGCATGTTAACCGCGTTCACAATTAAATGTAGCACTTACCACCGACCCATCGAAAATTTGAAAAGCAGCGACTAACGGTAAGAGGCTTGCAGCGAGCTGAATCACGTCACTGAAAAGTACACAAGTATCCGTTTTTAGGACATTCTCAGCTGACTGACGAAAATGGGAACACTAAATGCAGCAAACTGTGCAGTTCACCTTAAAAGTACAGGAGATTGTTGATTTCCGCAGTTCGGTTGAACAATGGTAAGAATTTGCGCTTCACGTGATACTCCAGAAAAATGTCATGGACGTGGTTTTCACCCTCTGTTGGGGTGTGACCTTTGCCATTACCAAAAGAAGCCTGGTTAAGGCGTTAAACCACCTTCAGCTTGATACATCCTCCCTTCTTTTTCTGGCCCAATGAGAACGAAGCATTGCTGATCTGACTAAGTTTTCGCCCCTGGGCCTAGTTGTTTGCGTGCGAGTGAATGCATATAAAGAGAGGGCAACGAAGTAAATGCAGATTATCTCATTTGTTTATTCACTTCAGTATGATAACTATTTTGAAAGCGAATGGCATGTGATTTATTTAAACCGGAGCGTTTGAAGATACATCTTCGTTCCTTATCAGTTTGGGGCTTCTGATGACCTACTGATATACTGCGCGCCCGTCTTACGTGGTGCTCTAAGGCCGTGTGAAAATTTGTAGGAACTTTGTATGAAAATTCCACCTGTAAACACTAATCAGCGGAACAGTCTTGATGATTTCTGAACTTGCGCAAAGTGAATTCTTCTCCTCCAGGCTAACAGGCATCGAGTCATTGTGACAGTGACTCTCCACAGTTGTCTACGACATACTCTTCCTCTAATGGAGGTCAACAGATCAAACAAGTACTGCCTTAGGATTTCACCCCACACTTGAGCAATACAGTTGGGAGATTATTCAGGTGCTCGGTAGCGCTCAGGGGAAGATATGCAGTCATTAAACATACACAGTTAATGGTTTCCGACCAAGGCTCTGTAATTTTGCCGGATGGTTTTATTCTTCCGGTTGTACGTCGGCGTCAAAGGCTTGCTCGCGTCACCACATTCAGCTCCAAGTATGACATTTTGAGTTTTCTACTCATATCACTCTCTCTCTTTCTTGAACCATTCTTCCCCTGTCCTAGCGAAATTATTCTGATTATTCCTCAACCGCCGCGACCAGTAAGTTTTTATGGTTGTCAGATCGTGCGCAAATTCCCAATAGTTCAACCACTTAGGAATTCCTACTCGAACGTCATCCCTTTATTACTGTAAGCGAATAATTTATACATGTTTGTACTCGTCTTTAGGTGGCACCAGTAAAATGATTCTGTCGTTGAACCAGATAACTTTTTCGTGACAGTCATAAATGCATCGCCCGGTCTTTCAAAACCAAACAGGTTATGACCGTAATATTATGTATTCTTTCTTATGTATTCAGTTTTGTTCACTTAACTGGGGAAACAAGCGTTTCGTTCACTTGGGTGTAGCTGCGGCGTCCAAGTAAACTACACTCACATTACGTTGTTTCAAAATACAATGACGACCAGTGGCGGCAAGGTTCCGGTTATTACTTACTGTGAGCTACAGATTAGTAGTTTCCTGGGGACATACTTCCTCTGACTGGGTTGTAAGAGGAATCGGTAATACCACGCACAGATGGCTAAATTCGCTTACCCTTACTTCAGGGCTATCGTTCACTGAGATTCACAAGCTCCCACAAGAAGCGGGTTCACCGTCCTTAGAAGCCAATGAGGTTTACGTAAACCAATGGGTTCATATTTTGTCAGAACCATAGAATTCTGCTGTCGATCCTTCCAATAACAAAGCTGGCCATCAAAAACTTACCTGTCGGTCGTGAAAATTTTCGGAATATGCCATCTGAGCAACACGATGGTAAGTACAAATAGCATTGAGATCAACCCTACAAAGCGAAACAGATGATTAATTAAATTTGACATTCAACTCACAAACCGTCACCAGTGCTACAGAGAGGACAGATCTCGGTCCAACTGACGAGCCTGCACCAAGAAAGTGCCCCAATCGAATACTCACAGCCACGCCAAATCCAAACGGTAGCTAAAAGTGGCAATAACTTCGGAATAAATATACAAAATAATGGGGAAGGAATAGTGGAAACAGTTGAATTTCATCAAGAATGAGTCTAATACAAATGTACGTATAGTGTCTTCCATTGATTGCATATTATTTTCTACCAGTGAACACAAGACAACGTCAGAAAATGATTTGGTGATACCGACTGAGGTCCAGCACGGTTACCAGAAAGTCGGTCGACTAAATCCAGTTTGGTCTGGCATCAAGCTTGACACTCGGTAAAGCCAGAAATGGTAGGAAGAACACAGAAGAAGGATCCATCACTTATCATCACTTTATATTGCATGATAACTCTCACCAGTGTGCTGTTTTCGGTCAGAATTTTGTTAATAACCTTTCCAATTGCATAGGGGCACACTGCATGGAAAATTCCTTGGTTTATACACCTATATCACTGGGTTGCCTAGCAGGTTGGTCTTAGTGGTTTTATTGCTTTATTCGATGTTATTTTCCGAAATCGGATACAACTCGACTAGCTTCAACAGGCTGATTTTTGAAAGCGCCACGCGATAGGTTCAGAAGTACGGTCCGTTCTCAGAACTCTTCCTAGACTGCAGTCTGAAGTTAAGTGCACTAGCAACATTTGGAACAGTCGACAAAAGCAATGAAGACGTTTTCATTCGGCTGATAAACTCCCGTTTTAGAGAAAAATGTCTGATGCGACCTAGTCGATGGCAGATAATTTGGACAGAACCAGTAGACACACCGAATATTGGGATGTGGATAAGCGGCCATGAGCTGAGCAATCTGCGTAACATGCTGAAGATTGCAACAAGCGTCGAATATCTTGGTTTTGGCAGGAAATTTTTACACGACCCTGATCAGGGAGGCAGTGGATGCGTTTCGCAGAGCAAAATCACCCTAACCTTTATCGCAGTCAGACTTATTTGGGCAGTGCACACGAAACCGAAGCTAGCCAAAAGTTTTGTTCTCACTAGGCGGCAATATTAATCTATACGCTAGACCTTTATGCAATCTTACCACTCTGCTATACTCATTCACGTCACTAGTCCTGAGCACAGACACATCTGAAATTTCTCCATGAGCGACCAACCTGTTTACACTCAGTTATTACGTATGCCGTGCAAGCAAAACCTAAAACTGTTGTGTTCACAGAAGCCACCGTGTACAATCTACCTGGCTTGAAAATGTCACTGCTCACCCATGTAGACTCCATAAATTATGGGGCTGATTCTGATTAAAAATGACCATTTCGCAAGCCTCTTTGTGAAATATGTTGGATCCTTGTTTACATACGAATCAATCGTGATCGCCACTGGTTTGATCTTCATGACTGAGTAACCGTCATTCACTGATCGGTCTATTAGCTCTGAGTGACATTATTATTAGTTTCATATCTATCAGGGGCTGATACTGTTCAGAAGTGATTGTGTACATGTGAGCGTGCAGTCTGATTTGCATACGAAGATAAGGCTAACAGTGAAACTGCAGCTTACAGACAAGCTAACATAGGCTACAGTTTGAGGCCGTAAAAATGCAAGTCAAAAGTTTTCATATACAAAATATTAGAACCAGTAATCAGTCTGGTTTGATGCTCAGAAGCATCCTTCACTTTTCCTCCGCTTGCATAAGTTCGCTTCCATTTATGCTGTAGATTGATAAATTTCGGTTCGGCGGCTTAGAATATGTAACATTGGTGGTATTATTTACCAGCTCGCGGTCTCTCTCTTAATAACCTTACGCTGTCTTCTTACAAAAATTAAGAACATACTATTGCGCTTTTGAAGCCGCTGAGATGGCCTGATCACCTGATTGCCTGATGAGTAGCCGCTTCTACAGAGGTAAAATAGCTTTTTTGCCTCTGAAAATATAGATAACAAAGAATAAAATCCACTCATTGAGAATGGTTCCACCAGAGTTTTGGAGATGTTATTGCTTTTAGGAGCTTCTGACTGACCCGGTTTTTTTTCAGAAAAATCAGACAGGAACATTTCTGCACTTGTGAAGCGGCCATTATCATGGGACAGCAGTCATCGTAAGAGATGGATCTTTTGTGCAATTTCAGGCATTTTCTCAGAATCGTCAACAGAGCACTAGAGTTATCATATCTGTAGGGTCTGTCTGTCTGGGAAAACCATGAGGGGTCGTTGTGAAATGAAGTAGCCGAAGCAGACTAGCCAACAGACTATCATAAGGTGGTTGAACTGATTAAGAGATGTTTGGTGCGGCACCTAGCGTACGAGTTTTACGCAGTGCTACTGTTGAAAGCAGGTAATAATCTGCAGCAACGCCTCGCGAATTTTTTATCAAGGGCTGAGTAGTCTAATCCAATGAGTAAGGCACAAAGTGGCCTTACTCGTAAGGTCGGGCCGTAAATTTACTAAGGAGAGTAACAAAATTAGCTGTGCTTACCAGAGTGAAACACATGGACTCAACGTTGAACAGAATTGCTTGGGTTGCAAGTTCTTTCTCGCCGATGGTTCCTAGAAGACAAAGAAAAGATAGGAAGTTTACTGTTGCATAGATAAGTATTATCAACGTGAACTGACAGATATGTCAGTGTGTGCTTCAATTTCTGAGGACTGGTTTTTCCAAGAGCGTGAGGAGAGATTCAGGATGGAAAGAGAAGCACTGTTATTTCCACCAACAATCCATTTTACAAGAGAGGTTCATCTATTACAATTCCTTCAAACCGTGATATCAGCAAAAGCCAGTTATATCATGCCCATTTGTGTTCGAAGTGATTTTTCATTCTTTGAAGCCAGGGACGCTTTAGAAAACAAAACAGAAAGTATATTTTCCATGAAATGGTGTAGATGCTTGTACGCAGCTAGATATGTGCGCGTTAGGGCGCACGGAACTGAGGAATTGGCTTTCAACGTAGCTGACACTAAAATCACACTCAACTCAGTATGAATATGGATTGAGTTAATTTGAATGTGTCTGCATTCTCCCATGACTGACCGGTTGCAACTCTAAAAATTGGAGCGTGTAGCATTTCATTTACTCATAACCAGCCCCCTCTAAATTCAGTAGACAAATTTTAGTATTGTCATGGAATAATAATAGTACATTCCTTCAGCATAGTGCAAGTGGCGTTAGAAACAAGCAACGGAGAGACCAAACCTTACTTTCCGACTTGGTTCAGTTTCAGTTTTTTCATCCTCGCACGTGTGAATTTCAGACCGTCGCATCACTCTATAGACATATGATTATCTCCAAAAACGATAACCCTAGATAGTGTTCTAGTATCTTCTTGCCAGCTTAACTAACTCACTTAAGTCAGCCAAACATTTTACACTGATTGCTTATTGTAGAATGGAAACTGGCTCTTCAGTAGGGAAATGAGGAAGTACCAAGAACATAGTGATTCAAAGAAGAGTGAAATACCATTTGAAATTTAAGTCTACAATACTTGGGGAGAAACTCCCCTGAATTCTCGCATGGTTCGACCATGCATGTAAGCAACAAGCGTGGCAAATGTTCGACATTTTTTAACTAATCGACTTGGTGGGTGTTATTTTAATATTTTCTAGCCTAACTTCTCGTTCGTCGCCCTCAAGGAAACTGCTACTTATGAGGAAATACATCTGTTGACTTAACGGACAGAATACACATATAGTATATTCCTCCCTCATCATTAGGGAGGGCTAAAGCGTTTATATCACGCAGGAAAATCAGTTGACACCATGGTTGACCGAACATACTTAGCAGTGAACTCAGTCATACAGTCAGAAGCATGACACCCAGATACATTGTTTTTAAAATCTTCTGTGCGCGCAGAACTGGTTAACGAGGCTTAATCAGATTCCCTCTGCATGGCCGCTCAAAACGAACACCTCTGCTCGACTCTAATAGTGTGTAGCCGAGGGCTTGCAAAAGCTGCCACTGCTTGAAAGACATATGATGGTATAGGTTTTCTTCCTGTAAGTGAACCAACAGAGAGCAGTTTAAACTGGCGATCCACTTTCTAGCCTTTGGAGGGCAATTTCAATATCTGTCCAGATAATTCGTACTTGTGAAGCAATGCGTATGTCCATCTGGTTCTCTATTATCGGATACTGGCAAACAAATAACGTTTGTTAATGGATTTTAACATATGAATAAAATGCAAAGCGCATCGTAAAAGGAGGAGACATACCCGCCACAATGCTGCCCATTTCGAAGATAGACCACTCCAAAGTGGTCATGAATATTCCCGGCATTGCCAACTTAAACCATGTGCCCCAATCCAGCCATAACTTGTTCGTCCATCCTAGATAAGGGAGAAAAAGGTCCATACTCTGGGTTGAATTTTGAGATCAGAATGAACCATTTTGTAACAGTAACTTTGCTGAAATAACCCAAAACCCATTATGTCCCGCCTCGTATCCGGTCTAATAAATGAACGCTGAGAACTCCATACCCAAGCAATTCACGAAAATTTGTAGCTCCAGACAACGATACCTCAAAGGGTGTTCAGATGTAGTTAATTGTGGAAATAATGTAAACAGAAAAGCGACACTTTTCCACTAAAGATCAATGGCACAGATAGCCTGGGAATTTGTTGCTGCTGTTTACTGTGAAGTCCCATTGCAGCACATCCAAATACGAAATTGACGCAATCGTCAAAAAATGACAGCCAGATAACATCACCTACTTTTGTGGCGACCCAATTTAATCACAGTAACTTTAAACAGACATTTTAGTAAATACCGAGGTAAGCGAATATGAACCAAGGGACATGAAACACAAAGCAAACTTCGGAAAACACAAAATTTGAGCCAAGTGCACTTCCTAATACAATCTGGGCTTTGGTGTTGCATCTCTAGTCAGCAGTTTTGCCAGACTTCCAGAGCTATACTTTTGTTCTTCCCATCATAAATTCGTACTGATAATAAGATCTTAGCCATCCAGGTTAGACAAGCAACCTACATTGTTAAACGTGCCTTTATAAACACATACAGTCACATGTTTGAAACTTGAGACGCTTAATATTCTGGTGGAGATATAAGTGCCTTTATATATCATCCGTAAATAGATCTTGTTAAACACTGGGTCGATTTGCAACCTTGAAGTTGGTAAGCACAGGTACTTTCTGCTGAGATCGACATAATACATTTAGGAGTTAGTTTATAACAAATGGAATCCAAACTGCATAACTTAGGTACCCTACAGCCATAATTATATTATGAACAGCCCGAGCTTCAGCTTCTCCAGTTCCGGGGGCTGAAAAATCGGGAAAGTAAGTGTGGTCTCCTCCGTTTCATTTGTATTCTCAATGACTGGGAGTATTATATTCATTTTCGTGGGTACTTTCGATGTAACAACACATGTGCCAAGGCGGAGGGAATCATATAACTTTCTCTGTGGCATCTTTTCTGGTTGTATTAGTAAAAAAGATGTATTCAGTGAATCACAAGAAAAAACAGACGTACAAACTTAGTTTGAAATAATTTATGCCTTGAAATCCCATTCCTTTTTAAGGGCACTAGGTGGACAATGTTTCGAAAGTTGAAACTTTGTCCAATGGGATTCAGGGGAGTAAGTGAAACGAAAAACCCACTCCTTCGGTTCTGTGCGAGAGTCGTGCAACTGGCATCTCCAAATGTCCAGTAGAAAAACAAAAACAAATGAGTAACCTTTACCACTGAAAATGCCACTGTCTGGAAATTTGTTTTTCCAATCCGTTGACCGGTGGGACATACAAATGTGCTTCTTTGCATGAACAGTCTAGAGTTTTCGTGGAATACACATAGTTGTACACTAATTGGACTTCAATGAGAGGCCGAACTGAAACCGGCTAGATCTCGCGTTCTTAATGTTTTCTATCAGCTAAATGTGCGGCGCAAGGCAACCTCATGTTTCAGAATATCAGAAGCGAGAGATTAGTTTGGTCTAACGCTAACGCTGTTTTATTGCGTCCAGCTTTTGTTGAAGTAGAACAAAAATTTGACGAAAAATCCCAGTCGTCGCTCAGTTGCTGAGTCTTGAGAAGGGCGGAACCGGTCGCTGGTTGTAGAGGAGTTTTCAGCAACCCCATGAGTTGTATGCTGGGTCTATTTTGTTACTGAGACATTTAGCTATGCAAAAGATGAGTTTTTCTAGTTGCTTAGCTCACATTCCCGTTTACATATGATGGGTGGTATGCAAAAGTATAGATATTTTCTCAGATAACAAATTCAATGGCGTAACACAACTCAACAGTTGGGGCGGCGGTTAGTTGCGCATAATAAACCAAGGTAAATTGATTGTGCTGCCAGTTAATTCTGGATCGGAATTAAACTGGTCGGCTCCACTTCGTTAAAGGTACTACAAATGGATGCACTGAAAGTAACTTAACAATGTGTTTTTGTGAACGCGTTCCTGAGGTTGGGCTTAGACGATTATGAATGCCCAAGACCGCGACATGTTTGGTAACATGTGGCAATTTTAAATCCGAGATACATTAATATCACAATGTGAGGCGCCAATGTCCTTCATTTTGCCGGTAGAAGTCACATCTTTGCACTAAAGTTGACTTCTAACTTAGTCTATCATATACATGGGGAAAATTATCGATACTAGTTACTGGCCTTCTAATACATATTTGGTGTTGGAGTGCTTGAACATTGTCGTTAAAGATGTTACCTATAAAATATTTTTTACAATAATTGCACGCTTAACAAAGAAATTGCTCTGAAAAGTAGAATATTAAAATGTATTGCTTTGGAGCCAAAAAGTCACTGAGTATCAATGGCATTGAGTGAACATCACGAATTAGTGTATTTTTGCTGGGAGGAAAAAACTGTTCCAATTTGAAAATTGCTATGCACCTCGTCCGTAGACCTCGTCTGGTGACCTCACATACGTGTGTCTTGGTCAGCAGACAGTCACATAGTCATGCGGATGTGGTCTTATTTTCACTGTGGTTTACTGGAAATGTTTGTACATAAGACGGTTGTGCATGGGATTGTTGTTACTCCACTTGGAGATTGTAGCACCAGCTTGTTGTGGAGACAGCACAATATTCAGAGGGAACGGAAGTCTACCGTTTCTCATTGCTTTGTGCTCGAATACTTACCGTTCCATGTAACCCCACGGCGTTCGATCACCAGAATATAAGAAAGGAGCACAACACACTGGAAGGCGTAAGCAGCAACTTGGGATATTGCTGAACCTCTGAAGGGACGAAGGGTTGGAATAGATGGGAAAGCATCACAAGTCTTGAATGACCAGTTATCAAGAAAAATATTTGGCAGGGAGAATGCATTGTAAGCGCAATTTGGGTAGTTAGGATTATTGCTGCTACGCCTGTAAGATATGGTGCGCGTTTTTCAAAATAGATTGCGTGAAACATGTACGAGAAAACTTGAACTGTACTTTCGATTCTTATACGCAGGCTAGTATGTATTTTGTTTATTTGAGCTGGTGAACCTAGAAAGAATGAGGCATGCTTGGGTATGCTACTAGTGTTTACAAAAACATTGTACGTGTCCCGGTAGAGCAGCAGGTACCATCAGCGGAAATCGTACACGATGACCCTTTCACCAGTTTTCTTCAAAACCCCTTCAGAAGTGCTTGCGAGAAGCACCAACTGACGAATTTCAGCCCACCAAACCCCCTTAAAGATTCATAAAAATGTTCTCTGACTGGTAATTTCATTCCCCATTTAGGTACAAAGTTCAATCAACTCGTCAGAAATACAAGAACAAACAGGCGCCAAAGGGTGCGTCAAAATTATGTGCTAATTTTGTTATGGAACATAATTTCCTAATGTTCTAAAACTTATTAAATCCAGTTAAGTGGGCTGATTGATGGCATCTAACTCAAAATTTAAGAGGCTGATTGGTCGAACGGCAGAAAAAAGAAGGAAATAAAGCTCAACCTCAAAGCTTTGGGGTCAGTTCATTGAGTAACAGCTGCAAACGATGGCGTGTTCCTGGTGTGAATATGTGGCGTGCTTGATGCTGGTGTGGGCAACATGTAGGCAGGTCAACTTGCAGTTCTGCAAACACTTAATGAATCACTAATTTGACCTTATGTGGCGACGGTTTGCAGAAGACGCCGCTACGGGAAAACCGAGTAATGTTTCTATGGCAATTTAATCCGAACCCATTTGAACAAAAATTCTTCCTGGTGGCAGACGGCCATACAGGGTGATAGACTGAAGGTGAACGGCAAGAAACAGTGAGGGGGACCATAAAAATTCTCCTAATGTCGCAGGTGTTTGTTATGGGTTAGAACACCCACTTCCCTCGCCACTAAGTCTCCAGTGTCATCCGTACTACACTATTTTGTCCTACATATTTGAACCGACTCCCTCACGCTGGGATATTTTTCAAAATAATCCAACTGCCAAATAACTCACCACCTTTCACTTATCATTTGCCTCAAACAGTCAGCAATCGCGCACAATATGATCAATTTAGTGGCACTTGCAAAGCGGCCATTGATGCCCTTAGTTTAATGAGAATCTCTCCTCCACTCTACTCAGCGCTGATATTTTCTGTCTCGCTGAAACCAGTTTGTAAGTTGAGAGCAAAATATTTATTCAGTTTCTCTCCACCGGCCTCTAACTTCTAGCCAGCCGGCATAATTGACTTACTTCTGGTCTAACCTAAACAGGTGTTGATGCCCAGTCTATGGGTTACAGCAGAGACGCAAGACCGAATTTTTCGAGTCCGATCACTTAGTCTCCCAATAATATTCACGTAGATGTTACACCTACAGCTTGTGACTAACTGGTGTATGACTAACTAGACAGCTAGTCTGACAGTTCACTATCGGCTAGATTGTTCTGACCAGTTGAACCGTTGGTTAGATCAAGGATCACGCGGAACAACACAGGGTAATGCAAGTGGTTGACTTGGTTCAGCACATGTTCTGAATCTGTTAGGTATTCAACTAATGGTTGTTGTTCATTTGAACCTCAAGATAAAGCCAGTAACCAGCTTACCGCTGAACCTGGTATCTTCGTAAGTCCGATATGTATCGCCATGGAAAGCAAAATCCTCCGAGCGCCTACCCTAGCTGGTCGGATTTGTATCGGATCTAGTATGAGGATCCAAAAAGACAGAAGTACTCAGCATACTAAACTCATGAGTTCCATTCACCAAGAAACGCACCTTCCTTATAAAAACAACCGAATTTGTCTTGTTGAAGGGTTTCTGAGTTTTAGTAGTAGTTCCACCTGTTTGGCCTTAAAAATGTCTTTTGTACTTAGTGAACTCAATACTGGAATACCAGTTGATCGTGTAAATTGGCTTAATTCATGCTGTTTGCCGACAGATGCCTACTTGAAGCGCGATTTTTCATCCGCTGTCAGCAATCAGGGTCCATATGGCACACAGGTGGCTTGCACATTCAGACAGAAGAAAAGTGCCGATTTTTACTTGGATACCCATAACCGCAGAATGAGAGAAAATGCTTGAGGCCGGTCAACATGAGTAAAAAGTTGGATGCTTCTCGACATGAAAACGATGCTGATGTGGCTGGACACCATAATTACTGGCATTCACTGGGTCAACATATTCGAATTTCACCATAGGTTCAAAACAATATTTGGTTCTTATGTGCATCCGTGCAACGTGGCCTGCGGTCTGTGCTCATTGCTAGGGTGGGTGCATATTAATTTGTGGCACTTAACCAACAGCTGCGCAAGGTCTATGATTACCACTTCCGCAACTGACTGATTTGCAGAGGATCTAAAAAAATAAATAAGCTTAAAAGATTCAGTCGTTCCTTAAAGGGTATTTTTGCTGTCAATAATCTGGTCGTCCTCGGTGTTGTAGCGATTTCAATCATTACAACTTCCCCTTGCTCAAGGCACAAGACTAATTGTACATGTTTTTTAAACACGGACGCCTTAACGCGATAGACTAGGTGCGTCCAGCTCACACTCCTTGGGTAGTGATCCTCCACCCGTTTAGCGTGTCAGATTACTGGAGTTCATATCTCCGTACTGAGGTTAATATCTCGTAGGAAGCCAACTCGGGGCCAGCGCTCCAATTTCAAACGTAACTTCCCAGATCGCTCGACTCATGGGGGCTTACTTATGCACACGAATCTGTTACCTGGCCATCATTGCTAGTCCTCCAGAGCAAGCGTAACGAGCTAAACCAGTATTTACTAGAGATACTTTGGATAACATGGCAGAGCACGATAGAGTTCCCTTTCATTATACAAGTGTACCGGTGATACTACTGATGGGAGTCACGTGAGTAGTAAGTGTTGTTCGTGGAAACTCGCTTTGCGTCTCTTGAAAAGGGGAGATCTGTTGCGGAATTTGTAGGGTCGCTTTGTAACATTTACTTGGATTCGAGAGAGGAATGATTGGAGTCAATGAAAATCCAGCAAACTTTAAGGGGACGCGTTCAGGAGAAGATGGGTTTCCAGTTTTTGTAAATAGGATGCAAATGAGAGTTTTGCATCCATGTCCAAGGTCTGTAAACGGTCAGCCGGCATTTTCTAATAAATAACTCCGCAGCGAAGGCCTTCTTCCTTTCACAGGTACCCACGTCACACGTGGATCCGCCCAATAGGTTTTCAACTAACACTACATAGCGTACGGTCTCTCACTCAACAGCCACCATTTATCATCCAAGCAGAGTTTACTGCATCACCAGACTATGTGATGATACTTTCGCTGTCATGGTGTTCAATGTGTCGTAATAGAAAATCTTGAACTGCATATGATTACACCTAACCAGACTTCACTATTACGGTGTTGGTCAGGGCAAAGGCTCAAATTCGGTTCGTCAGCTACACTCATCTGTAAACTAAGCTGATATTAATAGGGGACGTCTAAATTCAAGCTGAAATTTTTGTTCATTATATTTTTAAGTGAATATAGCGCACAAGGACCGCCTCTTGTTTCAACTGACAAGATATTCGAGATATCGCGAATCACTATTTTGCGTTTCAAGGTTCAGGTAAAACATAAGGCTGACGGAAACCCGGGAACTGCGTCCACTTGACGAGCCCCCAGAGGAGTGAAAGCGGTCCTGGCCTGTCGAACAGCATTCACCAAACTTGTGAGTAATTTCCTTCCACAAAATACTCTGTGGAATCTCACTTATCGTAACGACCGAAACATGGAGTGGTCATTGTGCAAAACACACAGTTGACGAATATAAAAATTGACGGATCCAACTTGGATTCTGCGGAGTCTCATTAAAACCAAATTAGTTTTCAAATGAGTGTATCTGAGAAGTCCATGTTGTTTTGCAGAATAAACAAATAATGGTTAATGTGTTGTGAATCTACCTCCCGTTTAGTAAGCATACAAGACCATTTTCCACAGTTCCCTCAATAGGGAATTCCTCCTTTACCAATGCCTAAACTCGATTGATGTTGCTCTCAACAATCAATTCCAGGATGATGTCATAGAGATGAAAAACTGAGGTGACATCTGATGACCGTTTCCCGTACAACATACTAGTTTGCAAGCGTCAACTGAGATATTGGAGTGTGACAGATGTAACTCTCAACGGAACAGTACGTTGATTTTCTAAACAGAGGGTACCACCGCGTGGAACACATTAAACGCATGTATCAAAGGCGGCGTCCTCAAGGGTAACGCACACGCAATAATAAGCGTAATGTAGGGAGTACATTTAATTTCACGGCAGAATGTATGATTACCTGTGAAATTACAGCAAAATATCTCTTCAGTAGCTTAGAACAATTAAGACTGTTCAATAAAATGTTGTGCTCCGTGGTTCTTTTTTTTGAGCTGGGAAATCTCCACGGTATCACTTTATTGATACTCACTTTTAAAAGGAAGATACTAGACTTGCGCAGATATGTTTAGGCAAGCAATTATTAAGAGGTCAGTACTCCCATCCATGAGATACAATTTACTCTGCAGCAAAAAGGCCAACTCCCATTTGGACACGATCCGAGGTAAGTAATCATTTTGTGTATCTTGCTGAAGTATACTTTGATTGCGAATTTCCTCAGGCAGTAAATCTCGGATCGACATCAACTATAGCTCTCAGTATGCTGAGTTAATGTTTACACTAATACCATGGAGTTCAAGCAACAAAAAAATTCAATTCAGCAAGTACGAATCGTACAACCGTTGTTGCAATGAACCACATGTTCACTCAGACCTCACTCAAACCGCACAGTTGTGAATTTTTGATGAATTTCAACAAAGAGACGTTTCTTGGTTGGCTCAAAATTACCTCCCCATCGAAATTCAATAAACTACATCATTATTTAGAGCTCCGAATGAAGTAATTCTATTCAAACTTCAACAAAGACGAGCACTGATATAAGCTGGTTTGTTTTTCACCTAAAAGCTATGATTCTGCGTAAGCATTCAACTAAAACAAAACAGACAGATAGGTATACATAAATATATATGGGGATATACAAACAGATAGATAGATATAAATATTTTGTTTGATAGACACCTCTATGGATTATCACGGTTTTTACTATTCGTGCTTTTTGCGTTAATATTCTGAGCGTAGGTCCTAACAAAATAGTGTTTGTATACATGAGTACTGTAGATGGAGGTCATCCGTAAAGGGAGGAGCATGGATTATAATTTTAACCAATAGTTTTGTATTTACATTCCACTGGCTTGTCCCAAGTTTGTCTGAATTTACCGCAAGCTGAGTTGGAAATATTCCATACTGTTAAGAGAGCCTTTGATCTGTCTACGCTTATGGTTAAACAAGGTTTTAAATATGATAATTGTTTCAAACATTTTTCAACCTGCATAGGAATACATCAGAAACACTCGTTTTGAAGACAGTGCAGAAAAGATTCAAATCATTTCAGCAACTCATCCCATGCAAAAACCAGATCACTAGCGGAATGTTGTTTCCCCGTTAGTTTGCCAGGTTGGCTTATTGATATCATTATCACCACGAGAGTCCCAGTACTGCGTAAAACCGTTTGCCACTGAAAACAGCATGATTGTGTTGAGTTAGAAGTGAGTTTGAAATCACTTCTGAACCGCAATAGAACTTTGTGATATTATTTACCAAATCTGCGAGTTTATTTTTCATTGGGCCATTAAACTAGCACAAAGCTACATGGGCATCTGCACTGCTAAATTTAGCCTCAAAATCTGTCCGAGCCCTTAGCCCTCATCATGTTAATTTATGATTCATTTGTCACCAAAATTTTTGGGTAAAGTAAACATTCAATAACTGACGACGAGGACAAAATTATGCAAGGAAAATCACAACAAGGCTTGCGACAAGCCGGGAACGATTCGACAATAGAATTGGTCTTTCAATTCATATGCTAGCTGCTTTTGTTGAATTCATTTTACTCCAGTTTTACATGATAGCCGAACACCACAGCATACTTTACGGGGTTTTTGTTCCATTTTTCATTCTAAATGCTACGTGATATGATGTTCTGTAGGTTGAGTTAGATGAAAAATGGTGGTAGTGTGTCACTTATTTATTTTTATTTGATATCTCTCCGGAAAAATGGTTTTCATATATAGTAGTTCCAATATCGTGGGCTACACTATTTTTTGTGCAATACAAGCAAAAACGTACTTTACTCCGGTTTTCACCACGAACAGGAGAACGTAGTGCAACAAAGCATTCAATGCATTTGTTGCGATTCCAATAAACAGTGGTGGAAGTACACGGTTCTGTAAATTAAACGCGACAAATGCTTTGTTATAACAAGTTAAACAAGAAGCGCAAAATTGACTATGGAAACAAATGGTGTGAAATATTAGTTGCCCCAATCCTGTGAATTATAAGTCCGAACGTAGGTTTGTGGTATATTCCTGTATCAACATCGTTGTTTGAATCTCTTTATAAGGACCGACTGCAGTGCTGAATGGTACCTGATGAAATGCAAGGTGTTGGTGCCCGTGGAAGACTCCCCTCAATTCTGCTTGTTCCAGTGGGGAACATCGAAAGGGACAATTTATCCAGGTACTTTTTTTAATCTACCGTTCACACAAAGGTTTGTTCAAATTCGCAGACTAAATAAATCACAAGCTCATTACAGGAGCAAAGCAAGGACTTTTTCTTTACCAACCTAAGCCACATGCACATAGTTCTCACAAATCTCGTTGGCTGAACACTCTCGCCATTGTGCGTTACAACCAGCAGGCAATGGATGCACTTTCCACGGACCACATGAAAATTGCATGGTCAAATTCAGCCCCAGGCGTTACGGTGGTTGTCATCAACCTAGTGCGAACCATACAGCCCTTCCCCCCATCGCGTTAAGTTTGTCACCAATGTTCGCTGATTCACAAAATTGGTAGGATATCAAAATACTGGTAGCTCGGGTAAGATAACTTTTTGGAGATCAGGTGGCTGTTGATGTGTACCACAAGCTCGTCATTCGCCTGAAAATGTTTCGTCGTCAACTGTGGAGGTACCACCAGTGCACGATTGAGAGCTGTGTTGTGTTCATTTGTTATTTTGCTTGTATGCAGGTAGCTTTCAGTATAAAGTTTTCTCTCAAAATATCTTTGGCGGCATATTAGGTGATGGCTAGTCATTAGAAAGAACACAATGATAGCCGACAGAATAAATGAGCAATAAAAAGTTGGCCGGGTAACAAAAAGATAAGCCGATTAAAAGAAACGTGATCATCCCAAATCTCTACAAAATCCAAACTCAAGGTTTGGCAATTAAAAAGTTTTCTCTGAGATTCAATGAACGTTTGGATAAAACACTCCGACCATTCACAAGCTTCCAGATGTTCATCTGGATAAGTCATCAGCTGGTTTCGCTTATTTTTAGTATGCATATCGTGAGGCATGTGCAAAGTGTAATTCGTGATATGAGATGGCAGACTGCAAGTGAAGTGTTTTGGTTTATCACAGACCGTGACGTCACTGACGAACTGTTGATGAATTACAAGTAAAGCAATTGTTTATACTGCAGTTTACGCATCGTAACCGCTAACCTTGCAGTCTGTTCTAAAACCTCGCCTGTCGCGGCTACTTACCTGTGTTTGTATGTATTTTGTGAACATTTGGGCATAGGCCGCAAACTAAATTTGTTGATTAATGAATATCACAGGGCCTACCCAAAGACCGGGTACCATATATAGCAGGTAATCTGCAGCAGCTCTGTTGAGGAACAAATGAAGACGGTTAGCCACAGCAAGCATGTCGAGAGAAGCAACATTTACACAACATATTTTGTCATAATTACAAAGATGACATAACCAAATGAGTCCTCAGTATCGATCGGGTTTACCAACAAAAAGTTTGTGACGACAAAGATCACGGTCATACACAAAAAAATTCATCCAAAATATCTTTTTGAGGACGACAAACCAACCAGCTCAGAACAAAGAAGTAAAACCACGCATAAAGGATACATACAATACCTACAACCAAAGAAGAGTTCGGTTAGTGAGTGAATGGAGTATCGTAAGAAAAGAGTAATTCAGAGTAGGTAATTTCTATCCCTTGGCATACACAAAACCATGGTGGATGGAGACTTCAAGCCTTAAATGAAGATAATGTGTGCTGAAATGCCGAGGAACATTGAATAACTATTTATTTCATTTCATTTCATTCTTACTGGGAATAATCGACAGTGCAGATCTCACGAAATTCCAGAGAGCTTGGAACCCCCAATGTGGAATCTTTGAAAGCTAAGTGTGAGTTTATCGTACTGCTGTTCATTCGCTTGTGGATGAAGGGTTACGTTTCTAAACTGCTATGCAGAAGGTCTCGGGTTCGAGGGATGTGCACTGCTGGTGATCCATAATGAAGATGAAACAGCCATGCAGTGCGTCTTGGCTTTTCGGGATAGACTAACTTCACTTAAACGACGAAGTCTCCAACAAAGTCCACACGCTACCAACGAAGTCATGCTTGACAACAATGTCTTGCTGTCTGATATTTTACTAAAGGTTTCTAATCACAGATGGTGACCCCGCCAAATAAGTGTTCCGAAATTCAGGCAACTGTACGCATGAGCAATGGGTTTCAGTTGCACGTTATCTAGTTCACCAGTGGTTTTCAGAAAAGCAAACTCAGTTTCAAAACCTGAAAGTACTTGGGCTAAACCACTAAATTAATTGAGATGAAATGCATATTTCAGTCCGGATTTCATAACACCTGGAGCAGATCTGCTCTGAAGCAAACATTCGGAGCCTGTCAATCAAAGTGAGGTGGTTTGTGTATTACCGGTTTCATTGTAATTTGCATAACACATCAACCTGAGATCGTGCTGAACGCAGCGGACCCAAGGCCGTGCATAATAGATTTGCTTATCATAGAGGTACGCACTGGGCGTGCTCAGAACAGTAATGAGCTTATTGCTCTAATTTTCGTGACGGGTATTTTGACTATGCTTTCGTTAACAGAGCAATGAATTTCATTGGAAATATACCTAGTAGGACTGTTTTGGTCTTCTCCGCGTTTACTCATTTAACTTTAAGGCTGCAACGAAATTTCAGAAAACCAGAAAGTGACAAACTATGTTTTAACCACAACGAAGTCTAGATTCGGCCTTGATTTGCTGAAATACTAACCAAATATTAGTCCGCAAAGCTCACTAGCATCCACATAATCGCTCTGCTCATATGCATGCCGATCAAAAGGCGAAATCGCCTCAAAACATTGACTACGGTAGGTGAAATGTTTCGTTACATCGCACTGTGTTGTGAAAATAAGCCTTCCAAATGTTCACCTTCAAACCATTCTTGCTGTAATTCTTGGCGTATTAAATTTCTAGACGCTGGAACTGTTTTGTTGAAGTCTTAATTTGAAAGGTCCCTATATCTGACGTCCTAAATATCACCCAGATTTCCGTTTGTAATATGAGCTGAGTCTCTAATAGACATTGAGTGTGTTGCTGCGTTCTGTGACAATGCTTGTAGAAGCCACTCACAGGCAGCAACATCCTGCCATAAAGCAGTACGGTTATAACCTTAATCGTTCTCTCTCTGTTAGTATTTATCTTACTCGGACAGGGGGTAGATGATGTCCGAATGACATCGTCAAACTCTGTGATGTATGGACCAAATAAAACTCATAATATCACTGTCACCAAAAACAGCCAGGGGTCTGTCGCTTACTCTGTGCGACTTTGTTTCCCATCCAACCAACAATCTGCATATTTGAGGTGACCGCGACACCAGTGCTGCAAGCCGAACTGTAGCATACACAATATCATGTAGTGAGCAAACGAAATTATCCGCGGTCATAACTTACTTTGCGACAACAGGGTCTTGCTTCAGCAGCCGAAGAATAGGCTCAGCCAATAAATGTAGCGCTGCACAAGGGAAGCAGCAGATGCTGACAATGGCAAATGCTGAAACAAAGGTCAATATAAAGACAATGTGCAAGCGGAACACTTGAAGGCAAACGATGTTTATACGAGTACGATGAAAATTATACAGAATTTAGCAGGGTAACACTTTGATCCATAAACTGGTTAGTGTGTTAGGAAATTTGCTTCTTTAATCGATTACCCGATGTGAGCAGGATATGTGTTCTGCAGATGTGAAATAATTACCTTGCAATAACCAGTGGTGAGTATTGAGTATCAATCAAACATCAAGTGGAAATCTTTGAGAAGTCTTCCATAATCCCCACTTGATTCCTTAGGGTAGTTACTACCCTCAACAAAGTGCCTCCAAGTGAACACAACTCTTCTGTCCAAATACAGGAGGTGCGGTTCATTCAAGCGATAGAAAATGTGATCTTGCGTCAGTGTACAAAATAGATGAAATTGAAACCTTGGGGAAATTGTCTTGCTAAGCATCTAGCGTCATTCGACGATATCTGCCATCAAAAGGTGTGGTCCACATTGGAAGTTTTCACCTTTCAACAGAATTCACGGCAAAAAAAACAAATTTCCCTCTGGTTGGCACATTTGCCGGATTTCTTTAGGTGTCAAGCTGACTGCATTGGTGGGAGACTTATACTTAAATTCCCCTGCTCCCCACAGAGCATCTGGCAATTATCCACCAGCCGACCACGAGTGAAGACAATGCAGACAATGCCAGATCCTCAGCAAACTTCACCAAGCGGAATGCATAGACTGCGTGTACACGGACCAGGTCGAACTCCCCTTATCATTGGGACCAAACATGTGAAATTCGAACCTGAAAATCAGACGATCGGATTCTGGCACATCCACTTGATTATTGTAAACTAGGATGGACAAAGATAGACATGGCTGCAAACAGTGGACAATTTTTCGGACTCCGACCACAGAGCAATTATAGAGACCGCGTTACATTCAAGGTCCATCGATTGGTGAATATCGAGATTTAATTTTGGAACTATGACTGGTAGGATAACCGAACTGGCAAGTCCTGCTTAGTAGGATTGTTTTGAATCAATTGACAAGTGTGTAAAGTAGGAAAACCTTCGTATAAGCTGGACTGTTCTTTCTTGTCAGTTAAGAGAAATTAGTGGTTCTTTGTGGGTTGGAACTCCCCCTTATAAGAGAAGGCAACCAAACTTTCAGTGCCACGTTATCACATGCGCGTTGACACCGCCAATATTTTGAGGCATAGTACAGATTTCTATGCGTTTCTATGGTTTGGTAGAAAATATACTATTCGTACAATTTGGTCGTTGCGTAACTTGAAAAGTCTTTCGGTCCTGGCAACACTTCATTGATTATTCGATTCCACAAGCAAGTGGTCGTGGTCTGGATGTAGTGATAAAAGGAATCCAAAAGGAGCAGCTTACGCTGTTGTCTGTAGATAATCAGGGACCTTCAGCTGTTTCCTAATCAAAAATGATTTAGTTGAACCAGTTATAGTGACCAAAATACCAATAGTTGTGATTCACTCAGAACGATGTTAATTACTACAAGATACTCAATTTCTTCAAAATCACCTCTACGTGGGACGCCAACGATCAGATAAACTCATGTCTGAAAAGTCTCAATATACATTTAGATCAAGTGTGTACACGTTCAGGGAGTAAATCTAGACAAACATTCCCGCTTTTACTATGAGTTGCCTCTTCTGAATAGTCGAAAAAATTTCCTTAGAGTATCGGACCCATAGGAGCATTTATTCTTGAGGGCTAGGGTTTTTTTATTGTAGTCTCCGTCTGTCATGAACATCTTCTTGCCCAGGTTTTCTTGCGTACATTACTCACAGTCAATAAAATTTTAAACTTTTATAAGATGTAGGAAGCTAATGGGAATTTTATTTGTTGTATAGGGAGTTTTGCAAGCCAAAAGTCATAAAAATAGCGAGTTGTTTTGCGTCTTGGAAAGCCCCCACGGAAACAGACTTACCTCTCTGTAATTGAATGCCCATCTTCCACTTATCCTGGGAGCCAAAGGTCTAAAATCCAACATAATACAAACAATATTTTAGAACATCAGGAACAGGGTATCCAAAATGTTTTTTAAAAGTAAATGCTCATTAAATTGCTTTAGTTGTCTACCGATTATTCAAGGGAGACTGGAGACGAATCACGTCTTTGAAGCGCAAAATAACTGGTTTTGTGGCAATAACATAGCTATCCCTTCTAATTCTAACGGACGTAATATACGCTCAAGGTAAGAAAACTATTGAAATGCCCTAGAACTGTTTTTTACAAAACATTTTCCCCCCTCTCCTCTGATACCGAAAGTCAGTACTTCACCGATTTAAAGTGAGTTGCTTGGCTGATTTCAAACAGATTTGTCAAGATTAGATCAGTAAGCGACACCTTAACGCATCCACTATGGGTTCCCTCTCTGGTCACTGATTTCCGCTATTCATTTTGAGATGGTATTCAGTGGCTGAAGGCAATGTTTCACAACCAGTTACATGATTCTCAGCTGGACAAAGAAAAACTAATGTCCCATGTTTTTCAAATGAGGATATCATGTGCCTAGTCGTCGCGCTTTCCATAGACGTTTGTCTTCGCGCCCCAAATCAACAGTTGAAATATTACGTGGAACGTATCCGGCCGGATATTTCTCTAATTCAAATAGACTTACCTACAGTCGCCACTTGGAGAATGTGTAAAACCGGCATAGTAGATCGCACACGCTAGCAAAGTTGATGGGCTTAAAGACAATCTGCACTGATTGCTCGACTCTTCTCAAAAGTACGCACACGTCATCATTGTACTGTCCTCAATAAACTAACCGTAATTTTAGCTCCTGTTCTACTGTACTAGCATCCGTCTCACCTCTTCGACGTAAGATGTCAATTTAAGGATAGATTAGAAAACTAAAGGATCTGCGCCTTAAAGCTATCGGATTTCTGATTCAATGCAATTAAACAGACGCTAATTATCTGTGAATGCATCTAAACACCCAATAAACATATTTTATTTTCAGTTGAAAGTTGTTTTGATGGGACACAGGAGAACGTTCTAGTATAATGAATGTCGCGACCAAGATGGTTGCAAGATGAGTGGGTTCATCAGTCCTAACAAATGGGACCAAAAGGTAACTTTCACTAATGGAGTGGGGCGGGGTAGCACAAATATCCATTGAAAGGGAAAGAATGGAGAGTTCAGCTGAAGCCTGTTTTCGCTCAGCCGCCCTGGTGTGTGCAGCAAGCAAAGCGACCCGACTTATGACACCACTTGGCGGTCGATGTAGCACAATAGTACTTTACATTGTAGCAATCAGTGTTGTACACGGACTGGGATACAGCACGTATTTCCCAGCACACAAAAGAGAATGGGAATTTAAATCAAAGACTGAGTCAAGAGCCTCACCGCGGAGCAACGACGTTCGTCGATGCATCGCATTTTTCACATGACAGCTGCTAACCACTAACCTGCAAAGCCAGGGTTCTGTGAAATCTAGCCACTGACTAACCTAATATGGGGAATTCCGCTTGCCGCAAGGCTCCGCTGTATAGATCAGAGTATCATATAGTCACACGAACCGTCACACCACAGTAAAATCCAGTTTGTTATTGACGGTTCCCGGATCTAATGGAGGGCTGCGGCTTCTACTGTTTGGCATTAGCTTACAACTGTGTAACTTACATTCCGCGAATTTTAATAGGTGTTGAATGTGCGGAAAAACAGAGAAGAATGTCGATAGTGTCATCTGGTGTCACTTACCATCGTTGCAACTTTACTCAAGAGGTAAATGTAAACCCTGTTCAGTAAGCGCTTGACGTGTAAATTTTTACGCAAACTTCGGTGTGAACTCAGTTCACCCGGAATCTTATATTTATCTCGCTTTCTAGGCACCAGGGTGTGTTGTGGTCATGAGAATTTTTGATCCCCTAGATTGCAATCAAGTATTTCAAACATGTGTTCGGGAAGTATGAACATATACCGTAGGATTCAGTGACAAATTTGTACTCCAATGAAGCTCGAGGTGAGATTTTACATGCTGCAGCCTCATCAAATATCTGGTCATCTAAGAGGCTCATTTTAATCGTCATCTGGCAAGCAAAGTGGAATGGAAACCTGTTGATTCTTTCTTGCTAAATATAATGTTGGGATATGGACTGAACCACTCTTTCGTTGTTTTTCTCATTTTTTATGCACAGTATCTGCTACTGTAAATCTGGCCAAAGCAGTTATTCTCTGGCACGAATTAGAAATGAAGCGCCTAACACCACACCAGCAATTTATTATCAGTAAAGCTACGGTGATCTACCCTCAGTTGTGCTGAATCTGTCATCGTATACAGCGCCAAGTAACCGGCAAAACTGTTAAAGGCAGTTTCATGGTATGTCAAAATTATGACACCTTTCCTTAGAAGTCTATTCAGGGTGGTTGTTTTTAGATAATCAAAGTGGAATATTAGGTGAGTGTTGAACTTTTTAAAGTAATAAAATTGTGTTTTAATCCAGTGTGAGATGTGCCATGGTTGTGTATTGCACTTGTGCGCTGAATTCGAATCCGTGAATGACCGACAAAGATCAGTGGTGTCACGTATTCGAGGGATTCATTGGTTGCTCATGATTAAAATCACTCCGCGGCCCTCGTTGACATTGGTTCACAAGATTTGATAGAGGCAAACTCTGCATTAGTAGCATTTTTTGAAACTTAACTCGCTAAGTTAGTGGAAACTCTAAGGGTTTGCGAAGTCGGGTAACTTTGTGGGTCAGACATAAACGTAATGACAGTTTGTACATTCGCTTTCACAGGGTCTAACATGTTCTTTAGAAATATTCAGGCAAGAAAAACATGCTATTGGCTGCAGATCTGTATGAAAGATTATAATCGATACACTGAGGAATGCAGCACTCATCCAGATTTTGCTTAAATAAAATACTGGTTTGGTTACACGGTCTTTGTCGGACAATTATATCGCCACTGTACTTAAGAGTCTATGTCCTCGCAGAAGATGTAAACTCGCTAAACTACATTTACATTTCTCCCGTTACATAAGTTAGGCGCAAACTGGACTAGGGGTAATACAGAGAAATTTACGGTAAGCAGGCTTCTCAAACCAGTGGATTAATATCTTTCTCACCTGTGAAAACAATGTATCCGCGGCTGTGAGCAAACCGGTGATCACGGCAAACCCAGTGACATTGAAAAGAGAGACGGCAAGACCGACTGTCGCCAAAGCGGACTTTCCCAAGCGCCCACAAAATATGATGCTTATGGGCCCCGACAAGAATGCAATTAATGATGTTATTGTCTGCAAAATCGACAGAAGAATATGGATTCCAAGAAACGAAGCAAAGTTTGACTAATTTGTTTGTATTTCCACTAGCAATGATAGGATATTCAACAAACCAGTAAGGTAGAGAAAAAAAGGACTCGGACTTTTATAGTGGTCAAATAGTGATTGATGAACCGGCATTCATCTACAAATCCATACATGCATTGCGCTATCACATGACCAGCTCACATGAAGAATGATGTTCAGGCCACAACTGGACAATCGGACCTTAGCCAGACTTAACATATTCCTTTAATAAAACCAAAGACCTATGGGTTTTTTTGAATTGTGTCGATACTATACTATACTCGCTTGCTTTCTATTTGGCAAGGGTGAAACTCCAAAGGGACAAATTCCACAAAGCCTTCTGTCAGTCTATGTTGGCTTCACTGGTTTGGCTGTATGTGCTTGGATAGCCTGAAGCGGCATGGGTAGAGTTGGAAGTTGCACGCAATTCCGTTATTCTGATGTAGACCTAAGGGAATAAGGTCAATGGGCGGATGTGTAAAGGCCTGTAACAGGCCTCGGATCGGAGAGGAGATGTTTCGTCTGCTGTTCTCTAGTGTCTTTCGCACAACTGAAGTTCTTCGTTTAGTCTGGTCCACCAATGGTTCTTTCATTCCCGAGGCATTTTGGATACTTCAACCTTGAAATTCCAGCTGCTTTATATTGTTATGTCGGTCGAAACTTGAATTATTACAACAAACTGAAAGTTGTTTTGAAACAAACAGTATTCTGTTTTGGTTATTCTGATTGAATCATTCTTGCACCTTTGTGTGACTTAATTTTATTCGCAGCTGTTGGGGATCCATATACGGAACTTTGCGTTACGCGTGCATTCAGCGATCCTGAATATCACATGGAGGAATTGGGTTTGAAAGCCCACGATACTTCTTAAAAAAGTAGGTGAAAATGACGAAACAGACCTGAATTGTCCACGTTTGTATCGTAAACAATTGCTTACGTCTGTCGCCGACCAGCACAGCGGAGTGACATCACCTAGGTTTTGTCTGTATTCGCGTGGGAGCATTTGTGATCAGTTCACTTGTGGGATACCGGAACTACCATGGCTCACCATATACGAAGCTCAGCCTGTAAGCCAACTAGGGTTTTGTCTGATTCCTGACAGTGGAACTATGCCCCTACCGCATCTACGCCCTCTGGTTACATATGACAGGCCGGTTGAGCTTGGGCGACCAAAGGCTGCTATGCTTGTGTGACGTTGTAGATGGGGAGCACGGTATTGTTCTGCCACTAGCAACGCAGTGTTTAAGTTAGTTGTTCGTGATTATTTACTAACCATTATACTAATGCAGTCTGATGGCTATCAATAGACCGCTGTACGTTATACCACCCAGTTTTCCCTCTTGGTTTAATTCACACTTCCACATTCATGTGGTGAATTGGTGCCTCCAGTTTAAAACAAACTGTTTATGTTATCATATGTATACACAGACTTCTAGCTGTCCAACCACAGTTGACCAATTAATGCATATCATTTGGCAACCAACCCTTCTTCCAATATGTTTTTATTGATCCAGATGTGACCAAGTGAATAAAGTGATGATGTTCAGATTACCAGTACTTATATTAATCTGAGCTAACATTTATTTCCGTCACATAGAACTACGCCGAAGAACCCCCGGAAAATAGCAAGTAACCCTATCTCCGGTGAGTCGCATACGCAACCAACTGAATGCCTTGAACAGGTATGCACTCAAAGGAATAAAATCCGACGGCAAACAGTAGTTAGAAGTTTTGGTGAACATTAGGTCCAAATGATGGCCCACAATTGTCGAATCAAGGGAAAACTGGAAGGTTCCGAGCCACACTGTATGAGAACTGGTGGCTTGAACCTCTCGTAAGATTTAGTTAAAGATGGTGCCAGCTTTTAATCGTCTTCGTCCGTACAAAGTCGATTACAGAGGTTCCTATCTAACAACTTTGTAGACTGGAGATTTCGAAATCGTTGCAAAGCTGAGATGGATTATTCACGGATTTACAGATGAACTAAATAAAACTAATCGCAATCGGCAGTAAAATCGAACGGAATAAAACACAATGGAACACAATAAAATAAAAAACACTGTAACAACATAGCAATATTAACCACAACATAAAACGGATCAGCCTATTCTTCCTAAAAGATAAGTGAAATAGCTGTATGAGACTAGGAAGTCCAACGCAGTTAGCTGATGAGTATTTTTCCAAGATTATATGTTGTGTGAGAAATAGGACAGTATGCGCACAAATGATACTGTCGATTTTCAAAATAAAAATTGCACCGAATGAAATGGCATTTCAGTTTACTAGTGCAGATACAACCAAGATAAACCATCAGGTAATCCGATGCATGTAAAATGATATCGGGGTCTAGAAGTGTGCTGCATCATGATAATCCCCTGGCAGCATCTGTGCTGCCTCATCAGTGTTGATATCTGCGGATTGTAGAGCTATAAAGAAGTCATCTTGCTCACACGGTTTTGGAATTACATTGCTCGTGTTAGGATGTAACCGTTTGCACTGCTATATTAAAGACCAGACAGGGCTACACGGCCTCTTACCTTTATTGAGAGAATTGAGCATATGGCGGATACCGAGACTAAAAAACCCTGGTTGCCTCTGAACAATGTAGAATTCTGTTGCAGATGACTGTTCGGTGGTTTTTTCTTATTTATACTCATATAAGGCTAAACTACATCCATAGTGTCATAGCCACGTCGCTGAACAAGAGAATTCTGTACAACTTGGCAAACTATTCCAAAGAAAGTAAGTCTGTGTCAATCTGAGTCATAACACGCATAAAATTCTAACCAGCGACAATGATAGTAATTTTGTGTAACAGTCATTATGATCAAACTCACGATTGGAAGAGCCAGTTGTACAAGTTTCTTGAATTCGTAGCAAAATCCAAAAGGAAAAAATCGGCCGAGCCAGCCTGTGTGAACAATATCGGGAATTTCTATGCCGGGTACTTCGGTTCGTCTGATATCTGCTAGTGTGAGAATAGAATACTACTCATTTTAGAGTCAACCAAAGTGTCTACATAATATGAGGTTAGAAAAGATCGGTTTTATCATCACTTAGACGCTTTCATGAGGCTGTTTTCGGTGTTTTTGCTCCAGCCTAAAAACACTTGCTTGTTAAATTCCCTCTCTGCATCGTTGTGATTTAGATTCAGTCAAGCTAAAATAACTGTCACAATGGTTAAGAGACTTAGTACAATCGACAGTGGTATACATTGATTTACACCTTTCGCGTGAACGATGAATCGGCTGTCTGGTCAAGCCAGATTCATCGGTTCATCTTATTATCTGGAGTTGAGTTGAGTAGCCTAACGGCTCGTTCGAATTTTTTTAAACGACGCAAAGTTGCTTCGGCAATCGCTTGGTAGCCGGTTTAGATGTGTTAGGGAATCGATTCCACACTATTGCAGTGATTTCAAGAACTTCCTAGGAGTTCTAGTCGAACCTGCTGCTGTTATCGATGTGCAGTTGGATTACACCATTAAACCCTTTCCTTTAGTCGTTCTCGGCCACGCTGGATAATGCCATCGCATGTTCGTGCCGAGTTATCCTGACTGTTGGCTCACTGTGTTCTTTAAACAACAGCGGCACTAGCTTTTTACTATCACGTTTTCTTTCGTTTTTTGGGGGTGGGTAGGGTGGAGTAAGACTATTTTATTTAGGCAGATTTGAGGCATTAGACAGGTCTTGTACCTCAATTTTAGCTTGGCGGAAGGAGAAGGGACTGATGGGTCGTTGAGAAGTCCGTTCTAAAATTAGACTAAGGAGTATTGGTGTTTTTTCTTCGCTCGGCGTACTACACCTTCCAGGCTTTGATAACGCAGTACGTGTTCTGGAACTGTTCGGGCTGACATTTTGTTTCATAATACCGGCGGTTATTTGCAGACACGTCTTTTTGGCGCAAAGTTATGTGGAGTGAGTAAGAAGGTTCCTCTACTCGGCAGGAGATTGACTGAACCCGCCAAACCAAACTTAGTTTTCCGCTGCTCAGGTTTCTTTCGAACCATCGCGGTAGTTTGTTTGCCATGGAGAATTGCGACGATCTTCTCCCCTCTCTCAATACCAGATTACTTCGTTTCCTCGTCAAGCTCTCGAGTGACAATAGTATGTGAATTCAGTACAAATGCATCAGCTTGTATTAACGGTACTTCATGGACGAGTTTACCACTTCAAAAGCAACGAATATGTAGGTTTAAAGCAACAGTAAAGCCACAAACAGCAATAAGACGAACGAAGCTGGCACCTGTGATGTCCACCACTGACCTGTTGTATATGTTTCCGTTTGAAAATAAATTTTGCACCTCAACTTTGAATAGTTGTAGGCCATTTTGGCACAACAACTAGCGAATGAGTTCAGGGTGTAGAAGAAAAAAGGATCATCTACATCCAGTGTACTAGGCAGTGTGATACACAGAATTTATTCACTGATTGTGGTACGTTGGATGCCTCCACTTCTGGGCAGTTGAGCTGTTTGACCCTGTAATATGCCGGGGCGATTTCCGGCAACATTCATTCTGGTAAATTTCCCTGTGAGTAAGGTAGCTTGTCATAGAATGCTTTGCAACGCGGTCCATTGGGAGTGCTTTCCCAGACTGGGAATTTGCAGGTTAAAACCATGCATAGCATGCAGATTTGATCTGTGTATTTTGAATTTATTTTTAGTGATATTACGGAGGAACGACGGAATTATGCATTAGTTCAAATATGTTTTCAAATTTTATGAAATACTGCCGTAGGTAAGACAACTGTTAGTTGTCATTCCAGATAAGTCACATCAAAAATAGATTCAAGTTTCTGATGTGGCATTTGCAAAGAGTGATTCTCGCTTAACTGAGGCTTCCTAGTAATTCATGGCCTGTTACTTAGGTGAAATTTACACGTGACTCAATGGCATCTACATTATCAGTATGAGCTAGAGAAGCGTTAAAGTAATTAATTAAATTAACCAAAGGGACAGAAAATATCGTAGTCTGTCTTCACTGAGCAAAGTGGACGAAAAACTACAACTGTCCATCCGCGTAAGTATAAAACCGGTTTCCTTTGTTTCTTAATTCTGGATGGATAAGCCTAGTTGAGACTCTAATTTGCCTTCAAATCAGAAACCTTTTTCAAAGTGTTAAAAAATGCAGAATAAACGAATTTTACACGTGGTATATTGTTTGAATTAATTAAGCGACTGAAGGTCGTTTGGCAACCATAAGAAATCTCAAGATTACGCAATCAAAATACAGTTTATTCTATTACACTGACGATTCTTTATTCAGGAGTTATTCGGACAGCATTTAAAAACTATGTTGTTGCTAATATGTTTATAAATTTCTGGAAGCATGTTCTGATAATCATCTTGTGGTCAGTTCGTGTGCGCTTGCTTTCGTCAACACCAATACCGACCTAACTTCCGAGTTCCTCGTTAACTTGACTTGGAAGTCCAGTAATTCCGTTTAGATTCTGCTTCTCCTTGTTCGTCACGGATTCTTGCAGCATCCGATCCGGATGTGATCAGTCTAAACATAATGACAGTCTCACAAAAGCCGGTAGATTTTACCCCACCTACACGTCACGTGTGTTGATGACCGGTTGACACACTCCGAAATGATTTCACACCTATAAGGTTTGCTACCCAAATTCCCCCTATGCTTATTCGTGCCCAATATGTCGGCCCAGAAAGTCATTTTGCGAACGCTGACTGTTTTCGAGAATAGAGTAGAATAGAGTAGAATTTTTTAGCTGGTCGGTGTCTCTCCACCTATTCTCGCGCATCCATCCTGAGACCGCGTCCGCCCCTTGAAGTATTTTACAGCAATTTTGGAACTAAATTCAGCAAGAAAAGCACTTTTTCTGTGAGATGGAGCCTGACCACTTTATTCTTAAACCCATCCAACCGTTGCACTTTGGTGCCTCATTAGGTTAGAAAATGTTTGCTTTCCTGTTGTCTGGACTCATCTAACCCAGTTTACAAATCTGGGTCAGGAGCCACGGAATCTGGCAGCTCTTTTATTGTCAGGCATTAGGTGTTCGTACAACGTGGCTGGTGAGTACTTATAGCATCAAGGTCATGCAGATATTTTAAGCTAATTGTTGCCGAAACCGACAGTATGTTGATCAGATTTTGGCCTCCATCATGTTGACGGAATACTTTCAGCGCTTGTTTCCTGGCAGGACCTCTCGTGTACGGAAGCCACAACTTTGGCTAAAACGCAGTTCTGCCACAAAGGTGGTTCACCTCACCCAACACTACTGGTCGCCTGACTTGGTTTCTTTTTTCTACATTCTAGGTAAATCTACGTGACGATACTGGACGCACTCCCCGGAACGTTGACACTGCCCCTCACAAGTTGTGTACACAGCTCAGCAAACGTTGCTGATTCCTAGATTATATTCCATATAAGCAAACCTATGAAGCAAAATTACCCCTAACATCATTTCTGGAATAGATCAAGACTTACAAAAACCAGGTTTATCAAATGACCTTCATAGTTGACTTATCGGTTGGATTTCCTTGCTGTTATTCTCTAGAGGATATTGGGCAGCACCTTCGAGAAACTAGACTCGAAGCGTTTGTTAAACACTGACATCAACATTTTTGTTCAACCCTTATTTTGCATTATTTCGTCCCAGTCATTTTTTACAGTGTATTTGTAAAGAAAATTCGGACACAAGCATGCGCACCAGTGATACAGCATAAATGCTTCGGCTGCGTCCAGCTACCCACTGAAAAATATTGGTTTGGCGTCGGGTTAAAAATAACTTAGGAATTCATGTTGATGTCTGTTTACTGTGTGTGTGTGTGCGGCTCCCTTTGCAAACATTCTTGTGTCCGAAAAAGTCCAGCTGATCAGTCAAAAATTCAGGATTCTGGATACGGATTTGGAAAATTGTTCAAAAACAGGAGAACAGACGCTGTTTGACCTTTTTGGTGAGAAATTTGTAATTTTGTGTTACATAAGGATGTTGTCGTCTTCAGGTTTCCAGAATATTTAAAAAAGATTAAGAGAAAGTATGCATGCAGTAGTAGAGAGAAGAGGTCGGTTTAATGAGCACAACAGCGTCCCAGGGCAAAGCACATCTGAAAATATTTGTAAGGCAAGACGTGAGATAACCCCTCATATTAGGTACTCCCGAGCAAAGATTCCCTCGGAAGTTTTTCATTTGCTCATGCAAATTACATGTGGCAATGTTTGCTTCCAAAAGAATCGTCGAACTTGGTTTTCGCATAATCAGATATTGTTGTTTGGCCCGTTAGAGTCCGTTTTCAGTGGAAACCCAAATGATAAGGCATGAAGTTTAAACACAAGACCGCGCAACGGAACTACAATGGTGGCCTCTCCTGAAGGCATATTATATGGACCTACTGTTGAAGTTTACAGTGTTCCATCTTTTTCGACTTTGGAGTTCCTGGTATTTTTCTCTACACACCTTAAAAAGGTCCTAATTTCACTTGGTGAATAATATTCCCACAGACAGATAAATAGGAATGAAGAACAAGAGGCTGCAAAACTCTTGGATTCACCCTAGCCTAACAAAATCACCAGTGTTCGCAGGATTTCGCCATAAGACATCTAAAAAGATAGTGTAATACCTATCAACAAAAACGTGTCACACTGGAGTTCCACCTTGATCTAACTAGGTATTGGGTGAAAGAGCGCTTTTGCACTTTCTGTTTTGGCAGTAAAATCGTGGCCAGTACCGACAAAGCTGTTGTACTCATTATCGACTGCAACGCTAAACTAACCTGAGGATGAGTTTTCCAACAACAACAGGGCATGTGACAGATATGCATATCACTTCAATTGCCTTGAATGCAGTTACGTCCTCGCTTTGGTGCCCAAAGATCAAAAAATTAGAAACATGTGTTAATTAAGTGAGTTCTTTGATGACAAAATCCGGATTACATAATGTACTCCATAAGGTTTCTATGTACACATAATGTAGCCGTAAGAGACTATTAAACAATAATCTTGAAAGTTGATTCCAGTATATATACGATGGTAATGGAATGAGCTTTTGAAGACTGACACTGACCTGACGTTCGGACAGGCCTCAATAAACTGGGTGTCTGTTGTTTAATTCAACCCTCGTCATATTTTACTAGATATAGTGCCCTTACTTGGGAAGTATCGTAGCAGTTATTCGGATACTAGGGTTCATGTCTGAGGGTGAGATTTGGCTAAAGAACTAGAGTTTTACTGGCTACACCCAGTAAAACATACACTCTGTTTTCAGCTAAGAGACAAAACATTGTTTTGTAGACACTTGTGATAAACGGGACATATTTTTGGTCAGTTTGGTAGAACTTGCAGAATTGGAAGAAAGGGTGCAGCCCTGAAAATTTCTCTTCTACTGCCACCGTTCAGTATTACTCAGCCTGTTGACAATCCGTGACATTCAAGTGCACAGTTTTGCGCAGATTTCGCAGTGTGTAGGATAGAAATTCCCAGCGAAAATGCGATCAACGGTGAATTACTTTTTTAATCAAAAACATTGGATGATTTTTCTTGCTTATACTTCATGTATAGTGCTCAGTGTCGGTGCCCGATAGCCTGTAGTTTTGAGTCCCCAATGATCATTGCCATTCCACACCACTTTTTCGATAAAGAGAACTTAGTTAACTTGTCTAAAATTTCCGGTGTACTTTGTCTTGTATGAGCCAACAATTTTGGTATCATCCGTATGAGCGCACTTGTACCGCCGCGTTCAGATCCCATTAGAATACACCCGTCTCCCGTACCTCATGAAAACAGTGATTTAAAGAAATTAAAAAAAACCTGTTTAGTGAATTCCAGACAAGTGGTTCAACTAATCCCGTATTTCACCAACAGTCCCTGTGGTGTTGTCTGTTATTATACCAGCTAGTCAAAGTTAAATGAAAAATACAACCTCACAAGGATATCTGTTTTGAAACAATCTAGACACATTCAACGGAATATTGGAATAGTAGACCACTAAATTTGGACGGGTGCGCGGAAGCACACCGTTCAAAATGGCTTCCGTCGACCTTTCAAATACTAAGTGTTCCTCTCAATACATAGCCATTATCCTGTGATAGGCAGTCAAAAATTACCTAAGCTCGGACAGTTTCCATAATCACTAAGGCGTTTTAAAGAGAAACGCACCGCCCGACCACGTTATCATGGAGTGAGTATAGGCAAATTGTGGCAAATCGCGTTTACGAAGTAAGGCCTGGAATTCCTGTAAGAAGGCCTGTTAGACTCGCGCAGAGAATATTTATCGCTACTTTGGTCTGCACTCATATATTTCCCATATATTTCAGTTTGTTGGACGCCGACGTACAAAATAAATATCTCTCATGACTGATATGCTTGAAAAGCTGCCTCAAACCTCTTCTGTTTTGCCTTAGTTTCATTGTATCACGCAGTGTCCTACTAAACTTCTGGAGTGGACGGAAATCTATTTGATTCTGCTGTGATTGCGCATACTGGATGACTTTTTTTCTGATCGATAATCTACAGGATTGCTACTCTGTACGTCAAAACAGGTGATGTAATTCTTGTGCAAAAGGAACGAACGAACGAACGTTTTCATCGATAGACATCCTGAACCTATGCTCCACAAAAGTGCTTGCCAAAAACGAATGCGTATTTTTTTTTAAGAAACTGCTGACTAGAAGGTCTTCACGTACTTGTTGGTTTTTTTTCCGAACAACTCAAAATCAAATAAATCTTGCCGAAGTTAAAACACACTTGAACATCCTACTCATACGGTGGACCCTCGACCGGTTTCGTCTTTCTAGGGCCCCAAGCTTCCAATAACATTTTATTCTGCTTGAACGTCGAATTTTAGTTTAGTTAGCCTAGTGCTAACTAGGAAGTAAATACGTTGGAACTTGGTTGGATACTCACACCACATATTTACGTACTCAAGACAATCAAACGCGACAAAATATCCCTGCACTCCTGAATGACCAAAGAACCATGGTTATTACTTACCACCAGGCAGTAACTGCTGTCGCTCCTCATCGCTTTCCGCCAACATTCTGCCGCGACTCACTAAGGGCCACTGGCTTCCGGATCCTTGCTGACTACTTCCCTGTCGGACCTCCACACCAAAGTGGTCTGTGGGCTCTGTGTGAGATTCGTGGTGAAAATTTGTGTATCGATCATCATGGGTTACGGGCGTATGTTCGGCCAACCGAATTTTGTTCGTACGAGGGAAGGACATGTGCCCAATGTATTGATCGGTTCGAAGAGATATTTCACAGACTACACAATCCACAAGTCTTTAGTGATTGGAGAGGGAAACTCGCTTAACTTACCAGACTACATTTCGCGCCTTAACAAAGCAACATAAATATACAGGAAGCATGAAGTGCCAAGCCATTTGCCACATGCATCAGACGAATCAATAGCCGAGTGTAGGCACATCAATCGGTTGTCTATAAATGAAGACGTTGTCACGCTCTACTCTGTTCGCACATTGGTTCCAGACACCCACAATTGATTCGTGTTGATAGTCCACTCTTGTGTTTATGGTTGCCCATTGGTTATCCTTAAAGACGTCACTATAAGAGACGGGTGAATTTGCGTGAAGGTAAACAATCAATCTACAGCAAAAAATGTAAACGGAATTTCGTCGCCTTCAGAGAAACACCTGTTAGTTCTGGGCGACAAAAGAATATAAATCCTTGGTCCGCATGAGTAGGTTGAACCAGGCACCAATAAAATATCTTCTGGCAGAATTACTTGAATCTGCTATGGAAGAGAATGCTGGTGGCTAAGATAGCATAGATGGTCGTTGGTTTGTTCGCTTAGCCGGGCAATTTACCTGCAAACGTTTCATCACCAGTCGAGGTGACATCATCAGTGCGTTGTTAGGGTTCGTGGTGGAACGTAGCGATGGATTAGTGGTTGTACGTTGAGCAGTGTTGTGTGCGTATGTGTGTTGGTTCCATGGAACCGATCGACCGAACAACCAATGGCGATCAAAGGTCATCCCCGGCTAGCAGCATGTATATTAACACACACACAACACTGCTCAATGCACCACCACCAACCCACGCTACGCTCCCTAACAACGCACTGATGGTGTCACCTCGATTGGTGATGAAACGTTTGCAATCGACAACAAACCAACGACCATTTACTTGAGTCTGTCTAATGCCGAGATAATCTGTCCGACAATCTACTGACATCACATTAGTTACGGAGGTGACATTGAAAGCTCTCAAAACGGGGCAGAATATGGAGGGCAAGACAATGAAGATTGATGGTAAGACATGTTCACGGATAGATACTCACTACAATCGGATGCCCATTGAATCGGATGCAAGGTATGAGCGCATGCTAAATGGTAGACTGGACAAGAACTAATGTTAGGCTTAGGTCGGAAATACGGAGTGACATATTGGTGAGCCATTAACGTGCCCGGCTTTGCACGATAAAAACGAGAATAAATTCATACTTTTGTGGATGCATGTCTTTGCCTTCAGGCTCCGATAACCACAACAAGACTGACCCTTTAGTTAGAGGACTAACAGTTAGGAACAAGTTTGTGACATTGTAGCCTAATGCACCACCACTGTGTTCCACGACATAGGTTCCTGAAACTCTATTAGCCACTTCAATCAGCAATGTGGGCGAGCTTTCTTTGACGTAAATTGATGGGTCGATTACTGTTTTACTGGCGCAATGCTCCGACAGGAACCTCCATATTTGTAGACGTAATTGAAGGTGGACGGAATAGAGAGATCATGCTTCACGTTTGGCAGTGTTATCCTTATTATTTCGACCAAACGAACTATTTCAGCTTCGGGGAAAGTGCGACTTGCTACAGTCTGCCATTGACTATCGATACGACTGTGTGTATCGTCCTCTCTGCATTCTAGGTGGACATGCACTTTCTGGAACCGTTTCTGTCTCGGTAGGACAAGGGTAAAATACCTCACAGAATTATCGGGTATTCTCTGTTTATGTTTAGCAGGTATGCATTACATCACTATTGGGCCTATCTCTCCTCATCGGAACCGACGGTTCTCGTCATCTAAGAGAACATAACACGACACCAAATTCCCGAGTTTCTTACCGCCGTTTTAGTAGGCTGAAAATGTTTGCGTTAAACAACCTGCTGTGTAACGAAAGCAAAAACGCAACAATAACACCCACGATTCGTGGAAGTATCTCGGAGAAGTGGGTAACCCAGGGAACAAACTTCGTTTGGTTCCCATCAAAGGCGAAAATGTTCCTGGTTCCAAAATGTTATTGCGTGAATGACGTACATACAAAGTATCTTAAAATGTACTTTTAGGCGTCAGTGGTATGTTCAAGATATCCCACTCTCGAGGTGGTTGACTAAGCATATCAAAGTTTACTGGTTCAAGTGGCAGGTGAACAGCATTCTGTTGGCACAATTAAACTGAAATAATATGACATGCACTCAGATTGCCAGGCGTTAACATCATCTTGGTCAGACAAGTGTGGTATGTTCTCTTAGCTGTCCTATTATGGCACTTTGAGATCACTCTTTTTGTAGTGCTTATTACTCACGAGATTGTCTGTATGAAAGAAATTTTAGGCAACCGTAGTCTGCTATTTTGAGCACCCCACTTGAAAGTTTTTGAAAAATGTTCTAGACCGAGAAAGTTTCTATTTTTGCTTCATTCTATGCCTGGCTGTTACATGATTCTCACTGAGTTACCTTAGTTCCCGATGTATTCAAGGCTACCCTTCTATCGTCGACTTTGGCTGTAGATTTTCCAGTGAAATACGATTTTTCTAACTCATTTCAGTTTGGTCCTACTTTGGGCGAGATGGACCAAGTGGTTAGAGCGCGAATTTAATGACCGAAATATTCGTGGTTCGAACCCAACCTCTGCCTCTCGACTTCCCCTGTCTAGGCTTGAGTAACCTGGCAGTATCCCAGGCCTCCTGTCGGCTTCGTGTGGCACGGCAGCTAGGCACCTAAAGGGTGCTACAGCTGAACACACACACACACAGTCCGACTGTCTCCCACTCATTGTTTTCTATACAGAGTTCTTTGTAACTAACATTGAATCTGACGTGCCTAAAGGGTCTACAGCTGAACACACACACACACACACAGTCCGACTGTCTCCCACTCATTGTTTTCTATACAGAGTTCTTTGTAACTAACATTGAATCTGACGTGATAGTGCCTATGAAGTGACGGAAACTCGTTGACAGCATGATAATGGTTTTGCGTTTTTCAATCTTATTGAAGTGGCTAGCTAGTTGCCTTCGTTATTCACGGATTGATAATTTGTAGTTGGTAGGGATTTTGAAGTTTCGTGGAAATTTTAAACACCGAGAAAGTCATTTTTTACTGTTAAACCAAGTTGAAAATCAAAATCAGAATTATCACCATTATCTATAGGGTGTTGCATACCCAAGACTCCCACCTTATGAGCTCAGGACGATTCTAACCTATTACAACCAGCTAATCGGCAGTGCGATTCGTAGTAAAGCCAGTGAAGCAGTAGCAATAAGGCCTCAAGATGGAATGAAACTTTCCTCATAAGAGCAAAATCAAGGTTGGAAACAACATATGGTTTAGGTAATTTAGACTGTAAAATAGAACCAGATTTGTGTAACAGCCAACGTCTCTGACGCTGAACGTAGAGCAATGTTCATAACCATCGACTACAAGAAGACGATCAACTCTTTCCCTTTTTGCTTCTACGTGGTGACATTTTTTTTGCGGGAGGCTGTCTTTCAGAATAGGCTTTGGGGTTTTCTCTCTGGATATGGGGATCCCCATGCACAGTGCACAAACCCAACCGCTAGTCTGTACAAGCCGCGCAAAAACAATAGTGAACTATTTTGAGTCCATACTCGGTACCATAAAAATCTGTTAATAATATCAATTTGCACAATTTGCAAATTAATTATTCATTTGCACAAGTTAGACATCTCTCTCTCTCTCTCCTCTATTTCACAAAATAGAAACTTTGTTGTCCGCCAAATTGCAGTTTCTTTACAAGCCTGTCAGAACCCTTCTTTAACTGTCATAGACACCAAATTTGGGCCTCTTTCCACATTGATAGGTGCAGCGTTCTGTCCAGGTAGGTAGCCCAAGCAGTGTCCCACTTTCATTTTCGCCATCACTCATATTTACGGTAATTCCGTATCTACGAGTTCGTGCATTCACGCAACTAGCTTTGCCTAAAATCTGCCGCAGAGTTCGGCAAACTTTTTGAAAAAATGCGAAAGTGATTGAAAAGGTATTCCGAATAACTGTTGTTCCAGATCACACCGATCACAACAGCACTGGAGGTTATGGCTCCCCAGTATTCCTGTTAACGCTTTTAGACTTCGAAAAAACTATTAGTTAAAATCAAACGAAGGCGGTCATCGCCACTGGTCATGCGGATTGCCGAAAGGATTCCGAAGGACAATAAGTGAGTAATTTCAGGTAAATCCGTTAATTGTTGACAAACGCACTGTCAGCTGAACATCCTCTACCCATGCTGACAATTACTCGGGTGAGTCCACACCAAACATCGGGAGAACTGGACTCGAGATACACGAACGTGATAACATTACCCCAGTACATACTGCATGTCTCTGAATTGGCATATCCAAAATGTCGAACGTATTCGCTTTTAAGTGATATGAATGGTTTCCCCAACATCTCGAACGGCGATTCGGTAACTGTTATGTTTTTGTCGATCTACGAATCCGTCTGTCAGGTCCTCCACTTTCCAGTCAAGTAGTGCCACAGACATCTGGAACTCTTTGGAAAGCCTCAAAACAACGAGAAGTATTTGAAACAGAATATACTTAGACAAACTGCTTGAAGTAGCTGCTTTTAAGATAAAAGTCCCGAAATGACAGATACGGATATATCCCAAATGTCACAGGTTTGAATTCTTGAACGCCTAAAAGTAAAACGAAACAAACTTGATGACGAATTGACCTGCATCGGGAGTAAATAGAAAACCAACATTTTAGGGCCTTTGTTTGGCATAAAGTAGATTGACATCATAAATATAGGTGAATCGTCAAACGGCGAAGAATTGTAGCGGGATTTTCAAGGCGAGAATCTAAACAGAAGTGCGTATGGGGTTTACAACTTGACCATTGAGTCGGGCAGCAGATAAGTTAAAAGGTCGCCGTTTTTCAACCACGTTGAAGGAAGACTTGGTAGAGCTCAGCTATATGGCTCACTCATTAATCCTGTGGTTTCCCATTTCTGATGTCTATACTTTCTTGCATTTGCCGAAAGGTACTTAACCGCCATTCTTACTGACCTTGAAAAATATTTTTCTCTCCAGCTACCCCAGAAGTCAACAAGTAATATCCATCCTCCTCCTGCATGTCGGAAAAACAGATTTGCTGTAGATGATCAACCGAAAAATACTTAGACATCCCAGCCAAACTGCTGGACTGTGGTGTATGTGAAGTCACCTGCTAAATCAATCGTAC